ACTCGGCAGGGGAGCCCAGGCTGGTCGCCAGCATCCAGCAGGAGGTCCGGGCTATCAAAGCGGCTGCAGTCAGCCACCATTACTGTACGGATGGTGCTAGCGTTGAGGTTCTGGATCTTAAAGAGCCGCTTTACCACGTTCACATTCTCTGACTCCACATCCTACATGGGACACAAGCCAAGGCCCGCAACAGGTGGGTGCTGGCCAGAGAGCCAGGCCTGGAGAGCAGCCTACCCTAGGTCCTGCATCTGCTCTTCCACGTCCAGCCCTTCCCACACCATCCTCTCTATTTCCCCTGCGCTACCCCACCTGTCTGCCCAGCCTGTCCCTGCCCCAGTCTGAACCTGGAAGGCATTGTTGAGCCACAGCACTGAACAGGAGGTGATATCTCCAATGCGGTGCAGGTTCCCCGAAATGAGGCTGGTTTCTGTGAGCCAGCAGCCAAACACATCGTAGGGCTTGTTTCGCACACGGGACAGCAGGACGAAGGAGTCTGTGGGGAAGGCCACAGCTGGGCATGCTGCTGACAGGCACAACGACGAGGGCAGCCCAACCCAGTGCCCACACTCACCTAGGCTGATGACAGCTATCTCGCCTGAGGAGGAGTTGTGTGGCCCTAGGAACACCCCGGAGGCCAGCAGCAGTGAGTCATCTTGGTTGAACTGGGAGAACTGGGTGTAGCTCCAGTTGTATGGCCTCATATCTGCACTGTGCAGCAGGGAGATGGTCAGGTCGTTGTTCCAGATCTGTACCAGAGGGGCTGCACGGTAATTACCTGGCCAGTTCACTCCGGCAAGTCTTGACTCTTCTCCACTGAGGGGGTTGAGTCCTCATGGGGTAAGAATCTCGTCCTAGGCCCTTACCACCCACGCTTATCACACCCTACCAATGTAGAGGGCTGGCCCCTGGAGCCAGAGGTTCGAGCTGTTCTTAGCTTGGGGTCTTGTGTGGTCCAGATCAGGCCTCCAGGGCCTATCAGACCCTCTCTGCTTTTCTCCCCAGTGGCTTCTCTTCCCACTGAGTTCTGCTGCATGAGAGAGGCACCCTCACCTTCACAGTGCAGTCCTTGGAGCAGGAAGCAAACTGGTACCCCGAGTGGGAAAAGCTGAGGTGCAGGACCTGGTCGGTGTGCTCCTTCAGTGTCTGCACCTCCACACAGGGTACCATGTCATAGAGCCGTCGGAACTCCTCGTACCAGGACGTGGCCGCTGTGGGCAATATGGTGTCACTCCTGCATGCAAGCCTCCCTTACTAATAAAGACCAAGAGCTGACAGCATGGCTACCAAGAGCTGTACTGTAGGGCCTCTGGAACACACTACTCACCAATTAGGTCTCACCTATCACAGAGACTCCCTCCTCCCAACACGGCCCATGTGCCAGGTCCTCGAGCCATGAGCCCCTGCCCTGAGGCCTGCAGGTTGTGTGTGGGCACTGACCTGGATGGCGGGGCACATCTCGAGCCACATGGTAGTACCGGTAGAACTGCTCCCTCCATAAGAACTCATCCCGGGACACAGCCTGCCACTGGCGGCACACCAGCCCAGCAGTCAGCACATCTGCAGGGTCCAGGCTCAGGAAGATCTGGTAGACCAGGCTGTCGGGGAGCAGGGGCAGGCCCCCCTCGTCCATCGTGACATTCTGCCCAGACGGTCCTGAAACCCACCAGTGGGTGCTCTGAGCCCAGGCCTCCACACGCCCAACCCCAGGGAGAGACTGATGGCCTGGTGCTCCAGACATGGCAGTCCTGGCTGTTCCTCCAGCCCTACCAACTGCCCAGCTGAGAATTCCACTGCACTGAGCATGTGCAGGGGGTACCAGGAGCACTGTCCCACCTAACACTTCTTGAAGCACCCAGACAGTAATGTTTGACCACCTCACATTCTCCAGGGGCACCAAAGGACTTGCTGGACCAGATGGTAAGCATCTCAGTACCAGTCAGCCTAGTGCAACCTGAAGAGTGGGAGGTGGTCCCCATCTTCACACCTCCGGGGGGGGGGGGGACTCTGACACCCTCCCCATTCTCCTGAGCCCAGGGAGACATCTGAGTGCCAAGGCCAGGCAAACAGGTCTGTGCTGCCCAAGCTGGCAGCTAAGTTCTAGTAGTAAGGACCAAGTGACAGACACCCCTCTCTGTCTTTGACCGTGCTGCCCCAAGACTTTAGGCTAGGGCTGACTTTCTTCTGAGAAGGGGCTCCTCCTGGCTAGTGAGTGACCTCTGCCTTGTGGACTCAGGAAAGAGCCTGGCCGGGAGGGTGGTCAGAGTGTATGGGGTTTCTGAATGTCAGAGCAGACAGCGGGGATCGGCCTTGCTGCTTAGCCAGACCGGGCAGCAGCTCCTTCATTCACCTACTGAACACTGCCCGGTGGAGCAGGATGGTGACAGCCTGCCAAGGCCACCACTGGCCAGATAAGGCCACCAAAAGCTGTACATGTGTAGTAGGGATTGCAGGAAAAAAAGCTGGTGACAGTGGACAAGGCCTGTGAAGGTGGCAAAGGCCAGCGAAGGCAGGGCGAGGCTCATGACCTGGACAAGGCCCGAGAAAATAAACGAAGGCCAGTGCGGGGGGCAAAGGGAGACCGAAGGGGGCACCAGGCTGGGGACGGCAGGACTGGGCGTAAGGGGTACAAGGCCGGTGACGAGGGACAGGGCTGATGACACAGGTAAGCACGGCGGGGCCAAAGCCGGGACTCACCGCGGCGCCTCCGCCCGCTGCGCTGCGCCCCGCTTCCGCCGCCGCTCTAGCCCCCGCCTCCGCGTCTTGACCGAGGAGCCAGGCTCGACGCCCTGAGCCCCGAGGCATCGATGGCCACTTCTCTTGCGCCTGCGCCTCGGGCTCCGAGTCTGGGCCGGCGTTTCTTTATGCGCCTGCGCGCGCTCGTGCTCTCGCGCTCCTAGAGCCGTGCTTGTTCCTGGCTCCTGGAAAGGGCGGCAGTAAGGAGCCTGGCCCAGCTGGACGGGTTCGAGACTCAGCGCCGGCTCTCTCTGCTGCTGGGCTTTGGACAAGTAGCTTTATGAGCACGTTGTTGTTGGCTGTGGGGATAAGACCAGTTACTGGCGTGCCAAGGGTTGAGCACTGACCTCAAGTGGAAATCGGGGTGCAGAAGTCAACTCAGATTTTGCACTGGGGACACAATGCCAAGCTCCTGTCCAGGCCAGGTTCTAGGATGGCCCCTAGCTTGGGGTAGGGGTTCAGTAAGCGGAAGACAGATGTGGACTTCCTGGGCTGTGCTTCCTGTGGCACTGGACAGTGGACTCTGACCTGGGACAGTGCAGCCCTCCACCTCCCTGTCCTGTTACCTGCTGTGCCTGACAGGACCGCCATGCTGTCCCCTGGGGCAGTGTTATTCTTCACCCTGCTCTTGACAACCAGTTCACTGGGCCAAAGGGCTCGGAAGCCCTCTGGGTCTACATCCCCCATCAGCACCATCCAGGCCCAGACCAATTTCAATGCTCAGCAGGTAAAAGCTGGGAGTGAGTGGGGGTAGATAAAGGAGCAGCTTGGCAGGATTGGCTCAGGGTGCCCGTTCCCTCAGCCAGTCCTGAGCCCTCCCGATCCACTGCCAGTTTGCAGGGACGTGGCTCCTTGTGGCTGTGGGCTCTGCATGCCGCTTTCTTCAGGAGCAGGGCCACCGGGCCGAGGCCACCACATTGCACACAGCTCCCCAGGGTACAGCTATGGTCGTCAGTACCTTCCGAAAGCTGTGAGTCCCAGTGCGGCCTCCACCTTCACCCCAGCCCCTGAGCCCACCTTACCCTGTCCTCTTGACCCTAAGCCTCACCCCTAGCTCTTCTGTGGCCTGGGTAGACATCCCATATGGCCCCAGCTGGGTTGGAATTCCTAGAGCCTGAGTGACGCTTTATACCATACCTTCTTCCTTCCCCAGAAATGGGATCTGTTGGCAGGTACGCCAACTCTTTGAAGACACAGGGGTCCCCGGCCGCTTCTTGCTCCGAGGTGAGGCAAGGGCATCGCGCAAGAGGGTGCAGGGCTCTTGTGTGAGGTGAGGAGCTGATGTGTGGCTGCTGTGGCTCTGCCTTATCCCCAGGGACCCGTGGGCCAGTGCATGTGGTTGTCGCCGAGACTGACTACCAGAGCTTTGCCATCCTGTATCTGGAGAAGGCGAGGAAGCTGACTGTGAAACTCTATGGTGCGTGCTAATTCGGCTTCCACATATGACCTTGTGCTTTGCATCCTGGAAGGGCTGTCCTGATGGGCTGGGTGACCCCAGATGGACATACGCACCCTCCCCATTCCCTTTCTATCCAGATACTCTCAGTAGCAGGCACCCTGGAAGGAGCAGCTACATGTGGGCTAGTGTGGGGATTAGATGGGGCAGGGACAGACCGCTGACCTGGCTGTGTCCTGGGTCCATTGCCCTGTTGAAACCACAGGAACTCTGTCTATCCCACAGCCCGCTCACTACCCGTGAGTGACTCTGTCCTGAGTGTGTTTGAGCAGCGAGTCAGAGGAGCCAACCTGACAGAACACCAGATCTTTTTCTTTCCCAAGTATGGTGAGTGTCCCCGGCCCAGTCCCCCTCCTGGCTGACACCCTGCCCTCCCTTACTACTGCCTGGGCCCCTAGGTTTCTGCGAGACTGCGGACCAGTTCCACATCCTGAATGGTGAGTGGTGGATGAGCAGGGCAGAGCAGCGGGGCTGAGGTCAGGGTCCTTTCTGCCCCTGCTAAGGCTTGTGTCTGCTGCAGAGGTTCGGAGATGAGGCCACCTGGCGGAGAAGCTGTGGACAGTGGCCTGCCCTCAGAGAGTTCTGAGCACCCTGAACTCGCTCTTGGAGTCTCTCCTGTCTGTCCCCAGAAGGAACCCTTCACACAGCTCTGCTGTTCTGGGGCTTTTCAGTAAACATCAGACTTGGCCCTGGGTCTTTTCTGTCAGCCTGAGTGGGAGCTCCACCAGCTCCTGAGCCTGTTTCCTCTCTGCAGTGAAGGCTTACTCGGAGACACTTTCCTTCCCTGCCTCCCCCATCCCAGCCCACTGTGCTGGCTTAGCGCCCATGGCCGGTGGGACTCAGGGCCCTGCCTAGGGTACCTTCTCTGGAGAGGGTCACAGGCCTTCTAACAAGTCCTCTAGGCCCCTCCTGACCCTTGACCCTGGAGGCTAAAGAGCTATAGTTCCAGGAGCACTTGCCAGGAAGATACCAGCGTGGGTTTAAGGGAGCAGTTGGAGCACATACAGTGGAAAGCTGTACTCCAGGAACAGGGGGCAGGCAGCCTTCTTCATGGACCAGTCAGGGGTGAGCATGGGGCTCTCAACATGTGGGTTGAACCCCTGATACAGCTGTTCCCCAGCAACTCCTACCCAGACTGTAGTCAAGGTTATCAGTCACAGAAGCAAGTTGTGCACACCCCATAAGGGAGGAGTTGGGCCTTTCTAGACAGGAGCACTCTTCTTTCCAGACCTGGGATGGTTTGCTTGGCTCCAAAGGCCGGGACTGGAGTTCAGGGAACTGGGCATCACCCCAGACATGGCTGGACTTGCCTCTGCCCCTGCCTCAGATGTCACCTTGCTGGTGGCCTGACGCTTCCCAGTGTTCATTCGATGAACATTTCTCAAGTGCCCCAGGCCCTGGGGACACAAAATAGTCAAGTCCTTGCTCCTGGGAACGACAGGAAGGCAGAGGTGGGCTCTCCCCTAGGCTCCCCAGCCCGCCATGTCCTCCCCTCTTGCAGCCCCAGGACACCCCAAGTGAGCTGTAGTACTATCAAGATGGCTGTCTGATTCCTAGAGCAAAGGCCTTCAGGCGAAGTCTTGTCTGCTGGCCTGCTTTGGAGGCGTGAGAGCTGTAGCAATGGGGCGCATGGCTGCTCCTGGGGCCAGAGCTGCCCCAGAGGAGGCTCTGGTCACCCAGGGTCTCTGGGCAGCTGGACTTTGGGAGGGCAGGACAACAGACTGGAGGGAAAGAGGACCACCAAGGGCCTTGGAAGGAGGAATTTCAGGAGACTATCCTACCCACAAAAATAGAGCTCACAAGAGCACCCTGGTCTTTGGGGCCTGGCCTTGGCCTCACTGTCCTGGCCCCAGGAACACCTTTTCCTTCTGGTCTTGTGTTCCCTAACAGAAAGTGATGGTCTCACTCTGGTAGGGGTTGAGCTCACATGGCCAGGGCCCACCCCTCTAATCTCTGCCTTGTTTTCTGCGGGTCTGAATGGGCTGAGCCTGGACCACGCAGCCATTAGCTTTTGTGCCAGCGTGAGGACACAGAGCTCTAGAACTGACACAAATTTTAGTTTCATTAAAGTGTTTTAAAATAGCTCCAGGTAAATTTGAAAATTTTAGGTAGAATAATGATAGCTATATCACACACACACAGAGTGTGGGGTGTGTGTGTGTGTGTGTGTGTGTGTGTGTGTGTGTGTGTGTGTCTGCCTGACATGGGTTGGGGGATGCTTGTGGTGGTCAGAGGGCAGCTTACAGGAGTTGGTTCTCTCCTTCCACCTTTAATAGATTCTGGGGATCAAACTCAGAATGTCAGCCTTAGAGACAAGTGTCTTTACCTGCCAAGCCATCTCACTGGCCCATGCATATCTTTTTTATTTTAAAATATTTCTTAGAGGGGCTGGAGAGATGGCTTAGTGAGTAAGAATTGCTTGTGGCTCGATTATGCAGACATGAGTTTGGATCTCTGCCATGGCCAGTCCTTCCTTCCCCCCAGCACCGAAGGGAGGGGACACAGACAAGAGGGTTATGAAGCTTGCTGCAGTCCAGCATAGTTCTGGTTCAGTGAGAACCCTGTCTCAATGAAATAAGCTGTGTGTGCTTGCACAGCCACATACACACATGTGCATATATACAGTACATACACATATTCATACACAAATGTTATAATTTATATATAACCTTTGAATTCTAATAGGTAATGTATAATATCTAAGAAGAAATAACTTTAAAAATCTGTAGAGGCCACTATGTAATTGACCATTTTACCTGAGACCACAGGAATAGAGGACCTGGAGGGGCTGCAGAGCAGGTGACCTGTCCTGCCTTGCCTGGACATGAGGGGCTGTGCAGGCAGGAAGAAGCAGCAGTTCACCTGCCCTTCCTGTCCACCCAGATGCTCTATGGACAGGTGGTCCTGTGAATATGAAGACGGTTTACAGCCCTCTCAGGGGCCTCCTGCCACTCAAGACAGTGTCCTGGGAAAGAATTCTGGGGTGAGGGATGTGAGCAGAGGGCAGCACTCAGGAGTCTTCCCAGAGAGGGGAGACAGGGCAGAGGGGCGTTTTGCTCTGACTGTCCCTGTTGGGAGGAAAGATGGAGGCGGCTGAGGAGGACAAGGAGGACGGTGGGCAGGTAGAAGGAAGAAAGAGCGAGCGAGCGAGAGGTCCTGGATGGGGAGGAGGCACAGGGGAGAAGGAGCAGGAGGGCCCTGCTTCCAGGATGGCAGAGGTTGCCGGTGGGATGGTCTCCACCCTGAGCTGTCTGCTTCTCCAAGCTTTTCGTGATCTCGGTCATCACCTGCCCCCACCCCCACCCCCAACCCTGGTCTTGTAGAAGGCCTTGGTCAGTTTCAGGACACGACACAGGACCCCAGACCCCCTTCAGTCCCAAGATGACAGGATTGTTTAGTTGCTGTCAATCTAGTGTGGCACCCTGGGCATTGGCTGGAGGATCCACCAATCACATCAGAGGTAGGAGGAGCTGCCCAGCCTTCAATTCAGGACAGTCTTGATGAGATGGAGTGAAACAACCTCCAAGACCTAGGAAAGAGCAAAGCCAGGACACTTCTTAGGGCCCTCCCTCACCATGGGGCTTATCTCCCGAGGACAAGCAGGCCTGGGAAGGCCTGGTCCACCAAGGGCCCTGCTTGGGCTGGGTCTGGAGGCCTGGTCTGGCCTTACTGTGCTCCCCAAGTCTTCTAAGTGTCCTGCCCTGCAGAGAAGACCGCAGAGAGAACAGGCCAAGATGGCACTGAACCTCCTTCAGGAAGCTTGGGCTGGAATCCCCTCCATTACGTGTGCACAACTGTCTCTCGAGTCAGCCAAGGGCCTGTGACCAGGGAGAGCACGGCGCACCTGCCTCTCACGGCCTCTAGCAGGATCCTACCCAGGATCCCGCTCTATTGCACCTTGCAACTATAGGACCCCACTTCCTTGGGGACCCGCTTCCATAGGGCTCCATTCTTGTAGGGCCTTGCTCCCATGGGGCCCTACTCCTATAGGGTCCTGCTCTTAGAGAATGAGACTCGGAAAAGCCCTGCACCTCTGTGCCTGCTCGCATAAGAGTCCAGCTCGTTCCCACATTGTCCTTCCCCCAGCCCCTCCCTCCCCTCTGCATGGAAGGTCCCTTTGAAATAGCCCCAGGACTCCTTCCCTGGCCCTGGTGTTCCTGAGGCCCTTCCCTCTCCCTCTGACTAGCTCTGTGTTCCCACAGTAAACAGTGCTTATGCTACGCTGGTTTTAGCACATGAGGGGCTATGGAACTGCTTGGGGGCCAGCAGTCCATTCCCATGGGTAAGAAGCTGTGGAAACTAGGGATAGTCACGATCCCTGCCTAGAACAAGTAGTTCTTTGGCGTGAAGGACAGATAGGGTGGACATTGGCAAGTTTCTGTCCCACTTGTGGGGACATTTAGAGCAGGTGTTTGGAGTCACAAGATGGACCCGGCAGGCTTTCTTTTTCTTGGCTGGGACCCAAGAGACCCTGGCAGGTGTTTAGGATGTAAGGAGGGTCAGCCCTGCCCTCCTCCCACACCCACCTGGTCTGCCACACTTCCCAGGGAGGAGCATTGGCCAGGTGGGCCATGAAGGAACAGGTTTCTGAGCAAGCTTCACCAATAACCATTCCTCAGTCAGGCATGTCCTTCTGGAGCCTCGTCGCTGCTGGGATGGGCCCTTGGTGGGCTCTGTGGCTGATCCTTATTCTTCCCCAAATCCCGGAGGGCCAGACTCCAGCCAAGCCTCAAGGCTTTCCCCAGCTGACGAGCTTTGAAAATGACAAGGTACAGGGCTTTCAAAGGTGAAGACACAGGTCGCAGCTGCCTGGGGTCCCGGCTTGTGGAGGGAAGGTGTATGCAGGCCCGTGGGCACTACCCAGGGAGGCCAGGGCAGAACCTGAACCCAGAGCTCCTGAACGAGCCCATGACCTCCCTGAGAAAAGGACGCAGGACCGTGTGTACTGTCTGTGTTTGCACGAATCGCTCCCTCTGTGAAGGGAGACAAATAGAGGCTTGGGAAGGCCACCTGGCTACTGACCAAGGCCACCATCTACCTGAGAGATTAAAAGCAGGTTCAGAGTTCTGCCCACGTCATGGATGCAGACCTGGCCTGAAGTTGACTCCTGAGGAGGGGTCCTGGCTGGCTGGGGGCTGCCCAGGGTAGTGTGGGAAGGGGCTAGCTGTGCCCATCACCAGCCATGCAGTTTCAGGGAGAATGGTTTGTCCATGGTTTGGCCGGTAACGCCTACAAGAGAGAGCACCGGGACTTGCTGAATCCCTACATCGCATTGTTTGAGCTAAAAGACAACAGTCATTTTCGGGTGACCAACACCATGACTCGGTGAGTGGGCTGTCTTTGCTCTCCAAGCCGTCAAGGACTGGGGGCTGTGTTCCAGGAGCCTTGTGTGGCCCAGCCACACTGTGGGTTGAGGAAACACATCTAGAGACCATGTCTAGCACAGCCTGCTTCATGACCATTCCTAAAGTCCGACGCAGTGATGGGCTGAATACAAGAGGGGAGGCTTGTGGTGAGTCACTCTGGAGAGAGAAGGCTGGTGGGTTTTCAGTACTCGGGTGTGGTCAAGGACCTCTTTCTCTGTCCCTGTCATGGTTCTGCCTGCCCTGCCTCGATCTCCTGGGCAGGCTCTTCTTCTACAGTCTTACCAGTGGCAGGCAGCCCCTATCTGAAGTCTGTTCTTTGCCCTTTCTGGAGTTTGTTGGCTTGGGTGCCAGCGGAGGTGAGCTTCTGATACCCAGAAACTTTCGTTTTGGCATGGCAAGTCCCTGTGGATTTGAGGACCGGTGCTGGGGTGAGCAGGAGTCACTGAGCCAGGAAGGGTACAGAGTAACTAAAAGGACCCTGGAGCTGATGCCTGGGGAGGTGGGGAGGGCTCCAGTCCTCTGCAGCCTTCTGGGGTATAGGCCTCTCCAAATAAATAGCTGATTTTTTTTTAAAGATTTATTTATTTATTATGTATACCGTGTTCTGTCTGCATATACACCTGCAGGCCAGAAGAGGGCACCAGATTTCATTACAGATGGTTGTGAGCCACCATGTGGTTGCTGGGAACTGAACTCAGGACCTCTGGAAGAACAGCCAGTGCTCTTAACTGCTGAGCCATCCTGATTTTTTTTAATGGTCCACCAGGGTGAGCCTGGCTAGCTTCCTTAGCCCTCTGCCCCCCCCCCCACCTACCCCTCCTGCAGGGGCAAGCGCTGTGACACTTGGTCCTATACCCTGATCCCAGCAACGAAGCCTGGGGAGTTCACCATGGAAAACAAAGGTAAGTGCGGCATTGGGTGGGAGGACCAGAGCCACCTGGGGAACCTTATGTGTATGTCCCTCTGGGTCAGGGACTGGAGCAGACAGAGAAGATGTGCAGGTGATCGAGACAGACTATACCCACTTCGCCCTGGTGCTGTCCCTCAGGACAACAAGCAGCCAGACCATCACCAGGGTCAGCCTTCTGGGTGAGCCCCTGCTTCCCTGGGCCCCTGTGCAGAACACTGGTCAGGGTGGTGCTGCCTGACTTTGGGATGGCTTGAGGGCAAATACCATCACCAAGTGCTGAGAGCCACTCTGTGCTCATCTGGCCACAGGTAGAAACTGGAGGCTTCCTCATAAGACGATAGACAGGTTCATCTGCCTGACCAGAACCCAGAACCTCACCAAGAATAATTTCATCTTCCCTGATGTGACTGGTAATGGGTTTGCAAGCCGTGCATGATAGGAAAGGGAGATAGGATCTGGAGACAATGGCGGTACCTTCCCGGCCTTCACAAGTCCAATGGCCCCTCTCCAGGCAGGCACTGCAGAGTCTCAGGGGGCGTGTATGGGGCATTGTGGTCCCAGAGTCTGAAGCCAAGTACTTGTTCACAGAGGTTAGCCTGAGTCAGAAGAGAGGTGTTCGTGGCTCTTATCTGAGTCCCAGGCCACTTCTTCCAAACGCTGGTCCCTATCCGAGGCTGCCCCCTCCCCACACTGGTTCTCCTGTCCTGGGAGGATAGTTCCCTGTTCACAGGAGACTGGAGTTCATTCAGGGAAGTCCTTGAATGTGGACAGCCTATTTCTAGCAGGAAAGTCTCTGAGAGCCCAAGGTCAAGGGGCTTCAGAGCTGAGCCCATCATCAGCCTCGCTCCTCTCATGGATGGATCAGGACCCCCAACCCCCACCCTGGCCAAGGACCTTCCTCATCATATCCCCTCCAGTGCATACCTACCACATTCGCACACCTGAGCATGTGCCCACAAACATGCAGACAGGCACATGCTCACACACACCTACACACACACACACACACACACACACACACACACACACACACACACACACACGTTCACCTTGCTCCCTTGTCATTCTGAGATAGGGTCTTGAGGTATAGGCCAGGCTGGTCTGGCAATCACGAGTCTCTTGCTTTAGTTTTCCCGGATGCTGGTATTTTAGGCCTGTGTCACCACACCTGGGTCACATCCCATACAACATGCATTTGGGGTCACATACATGTTTGCACTAACCATAACCCTCACGGTGCCATACCACCAGATCTACCACAAATCTAGGATCCGGAGGGGACAGGCAGGGCTATGGAGGGGCTTCTGGAGGAGCCCAGACGTGACGGAGGTGCACTCCGAGGGGCATGCCTCCTAAGCCCTTTCCCTGGAGCCGCTTCTGGTCTCATCTCCCGCCCACCTCCCAGTCTACCTGCTTTTCATCCCTCCCAAGTCTCTCCCCAGCTGCTCTTCCTCATCGGCCATCCCAACACTGTCTGTCTCCACCCCATTAGACTGGTTACCTGATCCAAACATCTGCTGAAGAGGGAATGGTTCCTGCCAGTACAGCCTCAGCCTCACCCTGCCTCTACTCTCCACACAAATAAACACACTGCCTATGACTCCAGAATGTGACCACTGTGACCATGGGGTGGGTGAGAGGCAAGAACAACCCCAGACTGGCTTCTCAACCCCCACAACTAGATTCCACACCTCCCCTGACTCCCAGCTGTGTGAAATCACGGGCCACACCTGCGCCGAGCAGAGCTCTGGGGCCCACAGGATGGGGTGTGGTAGGCCCAGGGCATGCCCTTGGACCACTGGTTCTCAGATGGCAGGCAGGAACAGTCAGACCCCAGAACAGAAGGAAGCCTGGATGCTGCTGTCCCAGGCTGGAGAAAGGATAGGGTATGTCTTCTTCCTATGGGATGTGGAGACAAACATTTCTAGGCCTGATGGCCATTCTAGAAAAGCCATTCAGAAATAGAGAGGCACAGAGGGTCCAAAGCAATGCACCCAGAACTAAGCAACCCAGCTCCAAATGCACACCTCTAAAGAGGTTGTCAGTACAGTGTTCACCTTACCCAGTCCACAACAGCAGCCACTGCTTACTCTACCCATACCTAAGCCTTATCTCGGCCCCAACAGACAGGCAAAGCAGGTCATGACCCAAAACCATCCATGCAGATGACTCCATAACCTTTGGCCTTGATAGACAGCAAATAGCATATAGAGATAGCCCACTGGATTTAACCTTTACCCTCCTAGAAATGCTTCTACTGCTCGGTAGGGCGGTGCAAGACTTGTGGGGGTGGGAGTGTTTAGGATCCCTCTGATGGTAGACCTCTCCATCCCCTGGCCTCATGCCCACTTCCTTCCTATTGAGCAAGTTGTCCAGAAACCAAGCACATTCGGGAACAGGGCTGGGCCACCGTAGGTGCAGACCTGAAGTCTGCTGACACCAATAAGACCAACCCCCATTCTGGTATGTAATTGTATATCTGACCCCCACATCAAACTCTACACGGGAGGCATGGTCTCCTTTATCCTCAATTGTATCCGAGATGTATCCAAGATGGCACCTCTTGGAGAAAGTGACAGACGCCTATCTTACTGTATTGGCTGGCTGGATAATGCATGGACAGATGGGTGGCTGACTGGAGGGCAGTCGATGGGTAAATAGGTAGGTATGTAGATGGACAGACGGATGAATGGATGAACTGGGATCTCGGACGAGAGAGAAAGCAGAAAGTGAGCTGAATGCTAGCATTCATCCCTCTAGTCCTCCGTACTGTGGGTGCAATGCAGTCAGCTGCCTCGGGTTCCTGCTACCGCTCTTCCTCGCCATGATGGATGTACTCCCTAGAGCTGGAACTGAGGTGACCCTTTCCTCTGATAGGCGCTGCTTGCTGGATGCTTGTCTCACAGATGAGAAAAGTAACGCCATAGGCACACGAAACGCCCGAGCAGGCTCAGCCGCCATTTCTATCAACCAAACCCTCCTTGTAGGGAGGGGAGTTTGACCACCATGTGACATCAGGGACAGGTGTCAGAAGAGCCACCCATGGGCCATGCCAGAGGGTTCCGATCCAGCCACAATCACCAGAGCCTGACCTAGCTAGGCTGCAGTGGCAGAGGGTGCTGAATCCGGACGTAAGAGCAGCATGGGCTCTGTTCTCACCCTACAACGGCGTCCACAGGGCACATGGCTGCAGAGCTCCTGACACAGAGAGCACTCCGACACATCCTTGATGCTGCAGTGAGGATACTCTTTCTATATTAGGAACTGAGGCACCAGGACATTCTCCCACTAACAGAAGGTCTGATCCTCCAAAGACCCGACTCCATTATAATACTATTTGCATTCATGATTTTCACATTCACTTTTGTAGGAATCATGGGGGAAATGCCCTAAAAAGAGATAGATCCCACCATGATTTGATAGGAAAGGGGTCACTTACAACAATATGCCACCCACCTCAGAAATATTTTTTAAAAACTTTAAAATTCACAACACAGGACCCCCTAGGCAAGTTTCTCATCTTCTGGCAGCAACAGCAGTCCATTCCAGTCCTCTTTGGAATGTTTGCTTAAAAAAAAAAATCCTTCTCTGTAAACTGTCTCTCAAGAATGAGGGTCTCCCATAACAGGTGGACCAGCCTAGCCGTTGGCCATGAGTTGGACAAAGACCAGGAGAAGAAGCCCCAGAAAAGCCAAAGGAGGAAATGGCAGAGCTCAGACCTAACAAGGATGAGAATCTGCAGAGGTGGAGTCTCACCTACCAATTTCTGGGGGGAAAAAATGTACTGGGGAGATAGATGGAGCAGAGAAGAAGGGTTGTCATAGCAGCCTGCCCCTGAGGGCCACAGACTGGCACCACCACCACAGAGCCCTGAGGCGTGTGTGTGTGTGTGTGTGTGTGTGTGTGTGTGTGTGTGTGTGTGTGTGTGTTCCATGTCTCTTTCAGCCTGAAGCACACATTTGAACAGCCACAGAGCTTTAACTCTGGAGAGAGGCAGTGATCCCTCCCACAGTTGGGGGGTTCGTGTTCTGACCTGTATCCCCAGCTGATTCCATATCAATGTACAGGAGACGATGTCTAGGGTGGGGTACGGCAGACGGCATGGAAAGGTCATAGGGGCTGCTTGGCCTCCAGTCTTCGTAACCTTCATTTCACATTCTTTTCCTCTCAAACTCAGTTCCACTCAACATTTTGGAGAAGTGGGAAGCTGTAGGCCAGCCTCCAAATTAGTTCCACGTGGCCTCTGCCCCAGCTGGAGCCCCAGTGACACTGTTTGTTTGACTTTTAGTGATGCTGAGGCTGGAACCCAGGGCCTCAGGGCCTCACATGTGCTGGTCATGTGCTCGATACTGAGCTACCCTTAACCCCTCATAAGGTCATAATTTCCAGAAGACCTTACCTTCACTGACCTTAAATTTGGGTTGTTGGTGTCCTGTAACCTTCACTAGTAGGTATGGAAGTACAAAAGGTGACCCAGGGACCCCCACAGTGAGCACCCTCTCCTATTCTGAAGCAGAAACCCAACTTCCTCTTGGTGATAAGAGATGAGTCCCTCTAGCCAAGATGATGATCCCTTTTTCTGCTGGTCAGCTCAGTGGTAGGAAGACCCCAAACAGTCATATGGGGTCTTCACATCCCTGTGTACTCAGGAAAATGGAGCTGAAAGCTAGCTGACCAGACAGGAAACAAGCTCTTGTGAGTAGGCGATTGAGTGGGAGGGCCTTCCCATACCAGTTGGCTCCCCAACTCCTGGAATCCAGCAGTGGGGGGATAGCCTTCAACCATTCCCCCACTCTTAAAACAGAGCAGTTAGGCTATCACTGCTTCAGGGAACTGCCCTACGCTTCTTCCAGGACAGCCTCTGGTAAGATGGAGATGTCATAGCCTGCCTCCCCCCACACACATACTTGTCTGTGTAGTCTTGGAAGACAGGAGCAGTGTTGTGCAGAGGCCTCGTTGAGCATAGGTGTTGCCTCGATGCCTCAGCCTGCTTGCTCCTCTCCACAGAGCCCTCCACACCCCTGCTAGTCATGGATATGGGGGACACAGGAAAAGCAGAGGCTCCCTCCCATCCCACTGTGGAGGGGGCCATGTTTGTGAGATGCAAGAGGGAAGTCCTATCCCCTTCTGCTCCTCTCGGGCTTCCAAGGGGTCAGTATGCAGAGGCGAGTGTGCAGGGGCTAGGATGCAGCCAGAATCACTCAGGGGTCAGTGCAAGGGGTCAGCACGCAGAGGCGAGTGTGCAGGGGCTAGGATGCAGCCAGAATCACTCAGGGGTCAGTGCAAGGGGTCAGCACGCAGAGGCGAGTGTGCAGGGGCTAGGATGCAGCCACTATCACGCAGGGGTCAGAGCAAGAGCTGGTGTGTACCAGATGGCAAGCAGTGGTCAGAGTGCAGGGGGTAGTGCAATATCAGCACGGGGATGGAGGGTAGTACACGTGGGTCAGTGTGGGGGTTGGGAACATTTTAGTCTCGTCTGGATCCTCGGCTGGATGTGGGTGAGAATGGGGCTTGGTGTTGCCACCGAATGAGGGTGGGCTCCTTCTCGGTTCCAATTCTAGACCCTGTGTTAGAAGTTGCCAAACTCTGCCTGGACAGCATACCCAGCCTTTAAGCCCTGCCAAGTGGCCACATAAGTCTCTTTACTTTGGCCTGTGAGCAGCCCCTCCCATCCCCACCTGGGCCTGCTGGGCCTGGACCAGCCTGCTGGGCTTCAGAGCTGAGCCTGCAGTTTGCTGGAAGTGAAATGGGATCAGCTGGACAAGGACCAGGCCTGTGAGCTGCCCCCCCCCCCCCCCCCCCCCCCCCCCCCCGCCTCCCGTCGCCACCTGGGCCTGCTGGGCCTGGACCAGCCTGCTGGGCTTCAGAGCTGAGCCTGCAGTTTCCTGGAGGTGGAAGGGAGCAGCTGGACAGGGGACTGGGCATGTGAAAGACCTGACCCTCCCTCAAGACACTTGTACTTTATCCCTCCCTTCTGGGTCCTAAGACCTCCAGGCCCTCCAGGTCTTACACCTATCCCTTCCCCAGGGGAACTACTTTTCCCGGTACTACCCTTGTCCTGTCCCCTCTGAATTCGTCTTAGAGTTATCCCGTGTGTCTCACACCCTGAAGCCCCCTGGGGACACCCACAGGATCAGGACACGTGTGCTGCTGGCATGATCTAAGGGTCCCTCTGCTCTTCTTGGTCTGTGGGGAAGGATAAAGAGTTGTAACCATCTCACTTCCCAGGCCTCTGTGCATATGAGACATCTCTACCATGCTTAAAATGGGGACTTGGAGGTCTAATCCTAGCCCTTCAGGCTGTTTACTTTTGGGGTGGGAGCAAGTGGAGGAAGTAGGGAAGAAGGTCCCTAACATCAACCATGACAGGGCAGCCCTCCTTCCCCACTAGGCTGGGCGGGAGCCCTTCATCTCTCAGCAGGAGTCAGATAACCAGCCGGGGAGCTGAAAGTTCAGGCAGAGGGACAGGAGGGAGCTCAGGCTGAGGCTTGGAAGGAAATGGGGGCAGGCAGACTGAAGCAGGCCAGGGAGGAGGGTTGGAAGGGTGAAGGACAGGACCTACTCATGGGATGGGCCCACCCTCTCGATGGGAAATGGGGCAGCAACGCCAGCAGCACCTCCTTGGAAGAAAATCAAGTCCCTAGCTGAGGATTCTCCTTGGTCCCTTGGGCCTGTCCTCAACTCTTGGATCGGGGCTAGAACCTACCCTGCCATTATCTGAATGGGTAGGGGCAGAATGGTAGGTCCTGGTCCCCTGGCATGCCCAGTCACTGAGGACTCTCAGGATTAGACAATGTGTTTGATCGGCTTGGCTAAGGGCTTGCCTGTGGTCAGAGTACCGGTCAGGGAAGAACCCCCATGCTGCCTTTTTACCCCCACCCTGGTCGCTGCTGTGGTCTGGATGAACTCCACGTCAGATGATGATTCGGGGTTAAAACTGATCCTAGACTACCAGGTAAAGGTTTCAGAGTCAAAGCCCGGCCTGAGTAACGAGGGGCTCGGCTGGAGCCAAGCCTGGTGGTCAGGGAGGGTGGCCTCACGGAGGGCACTGACCTGGAGATCCCCAGGCTGTGTAACCCCAGGGCTGCTGACCGTGGTTTGTCAGCACCATGACTGAAACTTGCAAAAAACAGCTCTTCAGAGGCACTGCCCACTGGCTGCCGCTTGTTGCTTGCCACTTGGAAGAGACCACTGGGCTAAGAGGCTGGGCAGGGAAGTGAGAAGGAGATTGGCTTCTGGGCTCAGATAGAGGACACAGCAGCAGTCAGGGCCTCGGTGTGTGCTTCTCTTTGGGAGTCTGCAGGAACCTCTAGGGGAATATGATGATGGCCAGGTGGGGGCGCCAGAGTTGTGCGGGCCGCCGTGGAGTCTGCGATTTCAATTGCAGAATCCCACGCTAGGTCTGGGAGTCCCTCCAGAGAAGCCTGAGCCTGTCATAGAGATCTAGATCCTCCTACCTCCTGTGACAGACACAGGAGATGTCAGTTAGACCTGGAACCGGGGAGAGGCAAGTTGAGGTGCTCATGGTGGCCTTGGAGGTGGTCTAGGGTTAAAGTGAGTTCTTTTCTGCTCCATCTCTAGAGCAGTGGGCATCATGGCCACCATGGCACAGCACCCTTGTGGGCAAGAGATACCCTGGGCAGAACCTGGACAGTACAGGGAGTTGACCTTAGGTTGGACAGGGAGTCCCCAGGATCTATGCTCAGGAACTGCCAGAAGGGCCAACTGGACTCTTCCTGGCCTCCTGGGTGTAGTTTAGCATTGCAGGGCTCCAGAGTGACTCACATGGACTGCCCCTTGGCTGGGAGGGGACTTTTCGTGGGTCTTCTGTGTGACCAGTGTTCATGCCAATCTGTGGCACTCTGAAGAAGAGACACTTTTTTTTCTTTCTTTCTTTTTTTTTTTTTTTTTTTTGGTTTTTCGAGACAGGGTTTCTCTGTGTAGCTTTGCGCCTGTCCTGGAACTCACTTGGTAGCCCAGGCTGGCCTCGAACTCACAGAGATCCGCCTGGCTCTGCCTCCCGAGTGCTGGGATTAAAGGCGTGCGCCACCACCGCCCGGCGAGACACTTTACTTTAAGTTTTTGGTCTCTCCTAGCCCTGTCCTAAGCTGGGGGAACGAGCACTGTGCTGTTCAGGGAGATAGAGGATGACACAAGAGTGGCTGGCCTTGGGGGAGAGAGGCACTGGGGTGCCCCCAAATCAGGCCGCCTCTGCCCTGGCTTGATGACAGCCGCTGGGTGTCATCTCATGGAGCTTTATTTTCTTTGCAACTAGCCGTGGCCACCTGGACGGTGAGATAGGCATGAGGTTCATACCTCTCAAGGGTGACTCAAAGAAGGGGTCCCTTACTGTGATGTGCCCCTCAGCATGGGCCTGGGTCAGCATCAGATGGGAGATCCACAAGCTGTGACAACGTTGCCTAAGTTTTTACAGTGGAGAGAAATGATCTGAGTGTATTGTGGGCTCCTGTTCCTTCCTATGGTTTTGGATGGAGCAGGGATCCAACTGTGCCTCTCCACTTCTCCACTGGGTTCCCAATGATTGAAGTAAGCACTTGGCCCTACAAAGACTTGTGCTTCAATGTTCCTGGCAGCTTTATATGTGATGCCCCCAAACTGCAAATAATACCCACGGCCATCAGTTGATGAAAGGTGATCAACTGTGGAAGGCGGCACAATGTAACTAACACCCTGTGGCTAGAGATGCCATGAACTGCTGGGACGTCAATTCACTGAGCTGAGTGAAGAGCGTCCAGGCAATCGGGACATGTATAGCATGGCTCCCCTTACAGACAGTGCAAACTGGTCTGCAGGAACTGAAAACACCTGTAGTTATGGAGGGCTATGGAAGCAGGTGAGAGGAAGGAATCCCCAAGAAAGCTTAAGGAATCTTTATAAAAAAAACTTTTAGGCCGGGCAGTGTTGGCACACGCCTTTAATCCCAGCACTCGGGAGGCAGAGGCTGGCAGATCTCTGTGAGTTCGAGACCAGCCTGGTCTACAGAGTGAGTTCCAGGACAGGCTCTAAAACTACGCAGTCTACCCTGTCTTGAAAAACCAAAACAAACAAACAAAACTTCTTATGTTATGTGTACCCGTGTTTTGCTTGTATGTGTATCTGTGCACTGCTTGCATTCCTGATGTCTTCAGAAGTCAGAAAGGGTATCGGATTCCCCAGGACTGGAGTTACAGGGGATTGTGAGCGGCCGTGTGGATATTGGGAATCAAACAGGGGTCCTCTGGAAGAGCAGCCAGTGCTCTTAATTTCTGAGCCATCTCTCCAGCCCCAAGGAATCTTTTTAAATACTATTTATCTTTATCTTTTATCTAAGTGTATGGGGGTAGAGGGATGACTGCAGAGGCTCCATTGGATCTTCTGGATCTGTAGTTACAGGTGGTCATGTGCCGTCTGACATGGTGCTGGGAATCAAATTCAGGTCCCCTGGAAGAGCAACAAATTCTCTTAACTGAGTCATCTCAACAGCCCCAGCTCAAGGGGTTTTGGTTTTGGTTTTTGTTTGTTTGTTTGTTTTTTTAAAGATAGGGTCTTACTCTTTGGCCCTGGCTGGCCTGAAACTCACTACCTACACCAGACTTGCCTTCAACTCACAGAGACCCACCCACCTGCCTCTGCCTCCTGATCAAGGAATCTTCATGGAATGGCAGGCACACTCACTGTCTTTGTTGGGGTTTTATTGCTGTGAAGAGACACCATGACCACAGAAACACTTACAAAGGAAAACATTTAGTTGGGGCTGGCTTACAGTTCAGAGATTTAGTCCATTATCATCATGACGGGAAGCATGGCGGCATGCAGGCAGACATGGTGCTGGAGAGGTAGCTGAGAGTTCTACATCCAGATCTGCAGACAGCAGGAAGAGAGAGACACTGGGCCTGGCTTGAGCTTCTGAAACCTCAAAACCCACCTCCTGTGACACACTTCTTCCAACAAGGCCACATCTACTCCAACAGGGCCACACCTACAATAATGCCATTCCCCACAAATCTATGGGGGCCATGGGGTTCATTCAAACCACCACAGTCACCATCTCACTATCGCAGTGATGGTTTCCTGGACACACACATGTATTATAACTTACCAAATATTTAAAAAATCCTATAAAACCCAAACCCACCAAGATGGAGTTGTGTCCCAGGGACTGCCACCAAGGCAGCCCAGAGGCAGTCTGAATTCTCCACTATGCTTTAGGCCACTTGCTACTTCTTCCTGCTTCCTTCTCCAATGACAGTCACTGATGCCTTCCCTCTGGCCAATATTGAAACACTTTAAGCAACCCAGTGAATAAGAAAGTACAAAGTTACACCCCAAAGAACAAATACCGTCCTTGAGTCCACCCTGATGTAGATAAGCTAGGGAGCAGGAAAACACTGTGATACCGAAGAGGCAACCGTATGACGATGCTGGCAGCCAGCAAGCCAGAGTGCCAGTCTCATTGGAAACGCAGGCTGCGCACATCGAGGTCCTCCCAGAGGACGGTGAGAAACGAGAGTGACCTTACAATGGGAGGACCCAGCACACATGCCTTGACTAGATGTGGCACTGCTGTGGCCGGCCGTTCTGGGAAGGACACGTCACCTCTGCTGAAAGAATTTTCACCAGGAATTGGAGTAAGGGGAGACCAAGTAACATCTGTCCCCTAAGGTCCCAATGACAAACCATGGTTCCTGGCTCCCCCACCCCACCCCCGGGGAACCAATGAGTTTATTGGGCTTACCCACAGAGCCTGAGTGAGGGTTACTGACAGAAGTATGAACCCAAAGCAGCCAAACTGGAAAGTCTGCACCAGCGTGGGTCATAGCTTCTCCTGGTTGTGCAGATGTATTCCCCCCGCCTCCCCCACAGTCTTGCCTTGCTTAGAGACCTGGGAGCCATGTCCAGATAGGAAAGAATTGTACACAATTGGTTAGGAGGAGTGGCTAGACACTCGGGTAAGGGTCTGTGACCCTCACCCTCCCCTCTTCTGTGATGGAAAGTCAACCATCAACAAGGCCAGCTGTGATGCTCTTTTGCAAGTGGGAGATCTGCAGGTGGGCCCAGAGGATCACCCTGTACAGCAACCTCCAAGGCCTTCCTACCAAAGCACCACCTAGTCACTAGGAAAATACCAACAAATCCCAGTAGTGGGCCTTTCACAAAACACCGTCAAGGCTGAGAAAGAAGGAAACATTGAAAGAACTGTCCCAGCCCAAGGACCACGAAGTAAAACCTCCTGTGGGGCCTGAATCAGACACTGAGCTGGGCAAACCCTTTACATGGGCTGGGAAATTTCGCTTTTTGTTTCTGTGTTGGATGGACTCCAGGGCCTCATGCCAGCCAAGCACTCCGTTTTGATTAAAATATGAATTTTGATTAAAACATGAACTTTACATGGTTTAGCATCTCAATATTCAGTGTTGCTTAGCACAGCCTCCGTAACAGGAGCACTAGCCCCACATTTTCCCTACAAATCTGCAAGTGTTTGAAAATCAGAATATGTGTTTGTATTTGTATCACGTGTTGGTGGTGTGTGCGTGGACACATGTCAAAGGACAACCCCAGGTGCTATCTATCCCCCTGTTGTTGTTTCTGTGGGGTTGTTGTTGTTGTTGGAGGCAAGGTCCCTCACTGGCCTGGAACTTGATGAGAAGGCTGGGCTGGCCAGCCAGGTGCCTGTCTCCACCTCCCCAGCACTGGGATTGGAAACACTCACCACTACTCCCAAACAAGAACTTCTAATGCCTCGACTGTCTTCCCAGCCCTGATATATTTATTTTTAAGGGTGTGTGTGTGTGTTATGCATAATATTATATATATATATATATATATATATATATATATATATATATATATATATATATATATATATATATATAAAGACACTGTGTAGCCTAGGCTGCCCTTAAGCTCCTCCTGCCTCAGCCTTCTGAGTGCTGAGTTTCATTTTCACTTCACTGAGCCTCATGGCTTCCTGGTCTCTGAGCATCCCACAGCAGCTCCTTCTCACTTCACATGTGTGTATCTTCCTTTGCCTTTGACTGTCTACGAGAGCTTTACAATTCGTGTGGTTGTTGATCTGTGGTGGGCTTTACTGTTCTGCCCTTTCATGTGCCCGAGGCTGAGCTGCCAGGATTCCTCTTGGTCTTGCTCTCCATGCTTCTCACAGGGTCAGTGACAACAGGGAGGCAGCCACCTCCCTGAAGCCCACTTCCAGGGCCCATTCTGGCCTGGAAAGGAGGGACACCTGGAGGACTCTCTTTCCAGGTTACCCCGTGGGTGACCACCTCTTTCCCTGGGTACCAGTGCAGCTTCCTGGATTACATATGGGAGCCTGGCAGAACTTAGCCACATGAGAAAGAGATTCATGGAACACACTGGGAGAAGGCAAGCCGCCCCTTCCCCACCCCACCCAGCCACATCACGTGCTGGATACCAGACCCTTACCTAGGGGCAGAGCAGAACCCTCCAGTTTGAGCCTGTGGCCCAGACCTCCTGAAATGATCCCAAGTCCCTCGTGAAAAGGCTCCAGAAAGTGAGGGACTAGGGCACCCAGAGGCAAGGAAAGGAACAGACATGGCCTAGGGGCCTGCAGGAGGAGAGCAGTACTGGGAAGGGTTTGGGCCCCCCAGGGCTGTGCCACCAAATTCACATGATCCCAGAGTACCGAGACTTGGACCACCAAGGTCTCTAGGCAGCATCTAAGCTGGTCATCAAGATCTTCTGAGATACAGCCTATCCCCAGGGGCACGTTTCAGAACCAGGGTGATGGAATCCTAGCAACCACCTCTCCCAGGGGGGAAGTAGTCAAGAGGAGGCTACTACGGTCCTCAGGTAACCACCACAGCCAGAGGCTGGTGGCATCAGGCCCAGCTGAGGATGGATGAGGTCAGGAATGGGCAAAGCGCTGCAGAGGAGGCTGTGGCCCTGTGAATGGCCATGGCCCAGATTGGCCCTGGGGCCTGAGTAGGTGGCCCTAGGCCAGCTCTGGCACAGCACACTCTGTCCCTCTTTGCCTAGCCCAAAGAACAACTCAATCTGCTCCCAAGCAGGGGGTGGGAGTGGGTGCAGAATTGTGGCCAACGGACCAGGACAAGTGTGGGTGGATTCTGGGGTGGCCACTTATGCTGGGCACACAGCGGATCCTGACAGGTATCTGCTGTCATCCTGCCCGGATTTGAGCTGTAATCTCTGCTAGTTTTCATGCACAGTGCAGGGCACCGAGAGCGTAGGAGGTGGGCAATGGGGCAGGAAGTGCTGGGGAGGTGTTCGTGGGATAGAGCGCTGCCTTGGAGTGTGAGGTGGTTCAATTGTGAGGAAGCCAAAGGGGTATAATCTTTCCCCTCTTGGATGTGGAGACGAGCTACCCACTTTGGGACAGGGCTACTATAAGCTCAGTGACAGCCCCGAACCCAACACCTCCCTTCCTCCTCCAGGCCGCTGATACCCAGGACGCCACTGCCTAGGATCGGCCTCCTCCACCCAGATGGAGCTCCTGTGGATAGGTCTCATCTTGCTGGAGATGATGCAAACCCAGGCCCAAGGACCAAGAAGGCATGGGGGGCTCCCTCAAGTCCCACACCCCAATTTGCCTTTTCACAAGATCTGTCTCCTGCCCAGTCAGGGGAAGGAGAGAGTGACTGTGAACTCAGGCCCAGCAGGCCCTGTTCCCAGGGGTAGGAGCCTGGAACGGAGAGCTCAGCCCAATGCCAGCCCTACATAGACTTCATATTCTCCTGTGGCCCTCGGGACCCTCCAGGTGGGGACAACTCTCTGTGCATGTGGAGAAACTGAGGCTCTGAGAGTCGCCAGGTCTTTGTTAGATCCAGGATCATGTGCAGATATGGCTTGGTGCCACATGTGGGATAAAGGGGGCCGACTCTGTCTGTTACTAGTCCTACAGTTTGAGGGAAAGTGGTCCATCCTCAGCTTGGTAGGTCACACCTTCAGGAGGGAAGATGGGGTCCTGTTCCAGATGTGGGTGACAACCTTCGAGCTCAGGGACAACCAGTTCGTCACTATGTCTGTCCCACTCGGGTGAGACTAAGTTCCCAGAGCCCCTGCCACGTGAGGGTAAACTGTGAGTAGGGCTGGCAGATTTGAAAGGTCCGTGGAGGAGCGGGAGGCAGCAGCTGAAAACCTACCCTTGCCCTTCCTGTGGCTCTAGCTTCTAGTGCTCGCCCCGAACCCCACTATCTCCTCTTAGACCCCTCTTGCTGGGGTCTATCCCTGCCCAGGTCCCACTGGCTCCAGTTTCCTCTCATTTCTCTGCTTCTCTTTCTTCCTTCTCTTCCTTAGCCCAGAAGACCACCCATCCGACTTGGCTGACCATGGCAGACTCGGCCCCCACCACATCCCAGCGAGACTTGTGCCCCTCCTCACAGGCGTTCAGCCTCATCCGCCCCCAGCACAAATAAACACCTGTCACAGAGGAATGGGCTGGCTGTCCATGATTGCTGTCATGAGGAATGTGGGCCAGGCTGGTGGGGTAGAGCCAGCTCTACCACCTCAGTGTGCCAGACCTGTGCAGAAGCTAGAGTGTCTGATTTGGGGGCTGTGATGTCCGCAGGGACACTTGTCCCCATTTGCTCTCCTCCATAGGCCTACCTCCCCTCCTTAGTCTCAGAGAAACAGAGACAGGCTTGTATTTACACAGCACCGGGCCCCAGCCTGGGGAGCAGAGAGCATGGTGTGACCCCAGGGGCCTCCTGGGATGCTGAAGCCCAGATCCCAGATGGGGCTGTGAAGGAGGCACCCAAGCACAATGCCTCAGAGCATGGTAACCAGACACTCCTTTCAAGGTACCCTCTACAGCCTTGCTCAGAGGCTGTGGACCAGTTTCCTGGGTCATCTTAGGGCCCAGAGTGAAAGGCAGGGCCCTGTCTTGGGGCTGCACTTAGATTAAGATCCAGGTACACCTTTAGTTCTAGAACTCAGGAGGCAGATATCTGTGAGTTCAAGGCCAGCCTGATCACAGAGTTTCAGGCCATCTACGGGTATACAGTGAGACCCTGTCTCAAAGTGGAAAAAAAGAAAGGAAGGAAGGAAAGAAGGAAGGAAAGGAAGGAAGGAAGGAAGAAAGAAAGAGAAAGAAAGAAAGAAAGAAAGGAAGGAAGGAAGGAAGGAAGGAAGGAAGAAAGGAAGGAAGGAAGGAAGAAAGAAAGAAAGAAAGAAAGAAAGAAAGAAAGAAAGAAAGAAAGAAAGAAAGAAAGAAAGAAAGAAAGAAAGAAAGAAAGGGAGAACCAGGTCCTGTGGCTGTTATGAACCCGCAGATGGGAGCCAGGAGATGCTGAAGGCCCTGCCATCCAGCCTGTCCTGGGAGACCGAGCCCAGCCTTAGAGGAGCAAGGCATTCTCTGTTCTGTGGCTCTATAGGGACACAAAAAGGACCCTCCGTGGACAGTGCTGAGGAAATTGTAACCCTCCTAGGCTTGCCTTGTTCAGCCCATCCACTCTCAATCCATGACTGCAGGCTGCTTCTTGAAGTCAGAGCAGGCCTTGGAGATCTATAGCACCATCCACTCCATCATCCCAGCACTGATGGTCCCACTGTTGGAGAGTATGAGGAAGTAGCGGCTGAGAGCGGGCCAGGCCCTCCCGCAGTTCAGCCACTCTCTGGGCACCCCATCGTAAGAGTAGAGCGGGTAGAGGTGGTCCCACCAGATTCAGAGTCTGAGCTGCCTGCCCAGACTCAATTTCCCAAGCAGCAGTTGGCCTGTCCATCCTGGGACCCTTCTGGGGTCTGTTTGACATATGCACAAGAGACTCAAATCCGGGGACTGATCTTATCCCAACCTCCTGCCTGCTTCCTCTTTGATCCTGGTCCCCCACCCTACTGAGCTGGGAAAGGAACCCTAGAAGTGTGGGCAGGGAGATGCAGCCATGTCCAAAATCAGCAGAGGTGAACCCAACAGCTACAGAAGCCAGCTGGGGGAAGAGCAGGCGGTGGGCTTGGATGGAACTCAGAGACAGCACGGTGAACTGCCTGCCTGCACAGCTTGGTTAATGGGCACAGTCTTACACAGAGTGCCTGAACTGGAGTGTAACCTCCACACAGGCCCTGCTTTTCTCATGTCACAGACTAGGGTACTACACAAAGGTCAACTTTCAGAGTCCAAAATATTCCACTCAGCTGCTTCTCAGTGGCCTAGGGCAATGACATTCTTCATTACGGCCCTTTGAGGGACATTTCTGAGAAGGACTGTGGGACCTGGCAGGCCTGAGAAGGTGGCGGGGGGTGGGGTGGGGGGGTCTAGGTCTCCCAAAGCCACTCTCCACATGCTTCCAACACAGAGAAGCTATGCTCAGGCGTCAGGTTGGAGTCAGGTGACCCCGGTGAATCCCAGGCCGAAGCTGGGGACTCAGGGACTTACTCCACCCATGCTGTCACTCAGCCAACAGTCACTCGGCTAGCTCAGGTCCTACCAGGCCTTGAGGATAAACTATCTCTGGAGATGTCAGAGAACTGGCCTCCCACCCAGGGGACGGACTGCCCCCGGAGAGGAATCTGCTTCCCTATAGGACAAGGCTGGGACTGTTCCTCGGGCCTTTCAAGGCTAGGTCCAAGAGGTCCCCCATGCTCAGAGCCAGGCCTCACCCCCGGCCAAGCAGTCCCATCTGCAGTTCATGGGCTGATTCGGTGTCTCACCACTCAGGTTGGCCTGAGTGCTGTAATGGGCCTGGAGAAGGGAGAGGTAGGCCCAAGACCAGGTTGGGCAGGGGCCTCCAGGCCAGTCCACCCGATCACTTGATATCTATCTCAGCATCCTCATGCAGCCCAATTTCTATGACACTTGGTAAGGATGAAAGGGAAGCCAGAGTCGGGCTGTGGGGAGGCAGCAGGGCCAAGGCCCCACTTCAGCCAACAGAGTCCCTTACTGCAAGAGAGTCCCCATAATCTAGTAGGCCCACATTTAACAAGCCTCCCAAGAACTCCGGCAAGGCAGGAATACCTCCACTTCTTTTGCACAGATGGGGAAACTGAGGCACATAAAGGCTGGACATTGGCCTGGGAGACCTTGCCAGACCCAGGAAGGCCTCTGTGTCCTGTTTGTATGGTTTATTCCTGGCTCTGAGCCCCCAGAGGAGGCAACGTGTTCAGGCAGGAGGGGATTCTGGGTGATCCCAAGTTCTAACACTCAGCCATCCTACAGTTCATGGGAAGCAGATGCCCTCAAACTGATAAGAACTTAGAAGAAAAGACCTCAGCGACAGGGCTGGCACCTGGGAGCATGTGGAGGCTGAAGCTGGGCCACTCACGGTCTTGCTCCACAGTGTTGGCTGAATCCTGGCACGCTGTGCATTCTTACGATAGTTTGTGTGAACCTGTTTCCTAGGCCCTCACAGGACACAAATGAAAACGGACAATATGGTCCTCAAAATAGGATGGTCAGAGCAGGGAGGAGGGACCCAGAACATTCAAAACCCCGCTAAGCTTCCTGGAAGGCTTCCTGGAGGTGTGGTCAGGATTTTCCTGAGAGGGTACAGGGGGCAGGCGGTGATGCAGACATGCCCTGGGAGATGAGACCAGGAACTCACAGACAGGAGACAGGGCCAGAGGAGGACTTGAAAAGGCCATTGGTATCCTGTTCCTTGTGACTCTGGGCAGACTGGGACAAGGCACTTTAGGGGCAAGAAGCTAGGCAGGGGAGAAGCTTCTTACTGTGGTGGGGGTTGGGAAGGCTATGAGCATCAGAATCTTGGCCTCTCCAGGGGCAGCCCAGGACCATACCTGGTGCAACCTGGGCACCAGAGCCTGAGTGCTGTCCCTTCTCACTCACACCCCTTGTTCCCCTGGGATCAGCACTGTGTCCCAGTTTCCAGCTGGCCAGTCCAGCCTAAGCAGCATTGCGGATGGGTGCAGAGCAAGGTGGGGTCCTGGGACTGGCCTAGGAAGAGGTCTTCCCAGAAGGGGCACACAGGAGTGCTTGGTCAGAGAGAGGTCCACACTGGTTTGGAAATGAGACAGCCCCTATCTCACCAGGCAGGGCTGACTTCATAGGTAGAATGGCCACCAATGCCAGCCGGAGGGCCATCGTGTCCTTCCGAGAGTCAGTTCCTTTGTTATCACTAAGACCACAGTATCTGGGCAGAAACAACTAGGGAAGAAGGGTTTATTTTGAGGCATGGAACCAGGAATGACACAGAGAGAAAGCAGCAGGATCAGGGACCTTCAAAGGCCCTTCTCAGTGACTCACTTCCACCAGCTAGACCACACCTCCTAAGGTTCCACAGATCCCCAAATAGCGCCTGCCACCAGCAGAGGAATAAGCCTTTAAAACATAAGCCTGCTGGGGACCTTTCAGATTCAAGCCACAAGAAGGTCCCACCCTTGGAAGTACTTCAAGCTTACTCTGCTTGGGGGGAGTCTTCATGCCATCTACAGGAACCCCCTACACAGGTTGATGCCCCCAGGCCTTCTTCCCAAGTTCGTCCTGTCTCCATCCTAAGTCCCTCTAGAGAAAACTCTCAGATCTGCTGCGGGGCCGGCCCGGGGCCTGGGGACTGGATGGTCCAGGAGTCAGCCTCCCCCTCCTTATTCTGACAGGTCCTCCCTCCTCAGGCCCAGGGCATGGAAGGACCTGAATGGGCAATGTATGGGCTGTCCTGGGCAGGGGCTGATGGGAGGCTGAGTGAAGAACTGGACTCTTGGGCTCCTCTGGGTAGTTCTGGGATCTATCCTACTTCCTCACCTGGAGCTCTGCTGGGCCAATTCCTATAGCCCCAACGTTAGTGAGAGAGTAAGAGCCCCTCTTAGCGTAGCCCACTCAGATGTTAATGTTGAATAATCCTGTGCCTCAGAACCCAAAGCTCCTGGGCCACAGGGAAGGAGAGAAGGGATGTCCCAGCCCTCTCTTCCACGGCCATTGGTTTCCCATCCAGGACAAGGCCATGGGAGCCAGGAAAAAGCCACAGACTGCAGCTTGAAGCCCACCGCTCCGCCCACCACTGCTTGCTTGCCCTAAGGGAGCCCAAAGGACCACCAGGTGAACCCCAATGGGCTGACGAGGGTGGAGGTTGTACTCAGCACGGCTGAGTTTTGAATTCACTGCAGGTTAGATTGAGTTTCTTTACTTGGTTCCTCATGGCCACCTGGACTGCTGGCCTTTCGGGACCAAAAGTTCAAGGCACAAACGATGCTTTGTGTTAAACCCTGCTGGGGTCATGGGACTTGGAGAGGACGATAGATAGGGCTTGTGAGGGGAAGGTCTTAGCCCCAGGTGGGAAGTGGTTAGCTTTCTCAGCAGCAGGGCAGCACTAAAGTAACCTCCAGTGCTATCCCTGCTGCTGAGGTATGTGGGCTTTGATGGGAGGGGGGCAAGGTCTGGGCCAGTTCTGTCTCTGGGGCTAGGGTGGGGAGCGGGGGTATGCAGAGCTCTCTGCCTGCCCCGACCTGCCCTTTCTTCACTGAGGTGTGGGGCTCAGCTGGAAGCTCTTACATAACCAGCCCTGTTGCTGATGAGGCTGCAGCTGGGACAGCCACCCTCCCTCACACGAGCATCACGAGCCTCCAGTGGGCAGTCCTTGGGCCCTGGGTGGAGGCCAAGCCTGGCTCATAAATAGGGGTCTCCACAGTGCCCTCTGCTCCTTCTGCCCACGATCTTCCTTGCTCTGCCCACATTGCTGGCCTCAGGCCCAGACACCTGCTCCGGTCCAGGAAAATGACTGCTCTTCGAATGCTGTGGATGGGGCTGGTCCTGCTGGGGCTCTTGGGATTCCCACAGACTCTAGCCCAGGGTGAGGGCCATGTCTCGGTACAGCCCAACTTTCAACAAGACAAGGTGAGGTTCCCCTACCCCACCCCCAAGACAGCACAGCCCTCAGGTCAACGAACCTGGCTTTCTCCCACAGAAGAGCTTACATGTTCCTCAGAGCTCTCAGCCTATGCTAGACCGAGGCCTGAGCCAGCTGAGAAGAAAGGAGGGCTGGCTGGTTACCTAGGCCTGAAAAGAAACCCTCCAAAGCCACAGCATTCCGTCCAATCTCTCCTCTGAGGGCACTTGCACACATGTGGGCCGCATAGTGTTCATGTCTTCCAAACACAATCCCCTATAAGCCCGAGACACCCGGGACATGCACAAGCACAGGTCATATATCTGGGTCCCAGGACGACTGTGCACTGGCTAGCACTTATCCAGTGAGCCCCTGGATGTGCTGGGCACTGCTCGTCCTGTATGCTCGTGCGCTGGAGCTGGCTGGGACCCCACTGGCACACCACCTGGTTGGTCCACCAGGAATGTGGCATGCTCCGATACCCACTCCACCCACTAGGGGACAGGGATGAGGACTGGGACAAAGATGAGGACCTCAACGTCCTGGGGAAGAGGGGAGGGTTTTTGCTACCCCCTTCCTCCATGGAGCATTGGATCAGGCCTGCTAGAGAGGGAGGAGACGTGGATGGGCAAAGCCCAAGGAAAGGGCTGCTACTGGGACCAGTGTAGCAGGGGAGTCGGAGGGGAAAGAACCAGAAGCCCACCGAGTCTGCCCATGAGGGGAGCACGGAGCATTGCCAACCTAGGCATCCACTGGTCGCAGTTCCTGGGGCACTGGTACAGCATAGCCCTCGCCTCCAATTCAACCTGGTTCCGGGATAAGAAAACAGGACTGTTTATGTGCAAGGCAGTGCTAGCTCCCTCCACAGACGGCGGCCTCAACCTCACCTCTATCTTCCTCAGGTGAGAGAATGGGGTGCGGCGAGTTCTGGGGCCCAGAAGTCCCCATATCCTTGTCAGGGGGACATCTTGGGGCTTGTTTCCTTACTTCAAGGGTGTTCTGCCCACAGGAGGAACCAGTGTGAAACCAAGATCATGATGCTGCAGCCCGGGAAGGTTCCCGGACAATACAACTACCGCAGTCCCCGTGAGTAAACTACTTCCTGATCTGGGTCAGTTCTGAGGTCCCTGCTGGCAGACTGGACAACCCCGTCCCAAAACTGTGGGGATAATGGTCACAGCACCAGGGTCAGTCATCCAAGGACAGACCTCGTTGTGAATCTGCCTCAGGCACGTAGGACGTAGGTGTTGGAGACAGACCTCTCTCTGGGGACTGTGTCCTCTCTGAAGCCCACCCATGTTCTGCCAGGCCCCTTTCCTGCCCAAATGGAATTTTCTCTGCTGCCCAAGTGGGTTACTCACAGGCATTCCCCGAATCCTACCCATGCTTCAATAGTTCCTACCCAAGGACCTCTCCTCCATCCCTCACCTGAGATATGGCTCCCCACAAGAACCCTATTTCCAGCCGGGTGGTGGTGGCACACGCCTTTAATCCCAGCACTCGGGAGGCAGAGCCAGGCAGATCTCTGTGAGTTTGAGGCCAGCCTGGTCTACAGAGCGAGATCCAGGACAGGCACCAAAACTATACAGAGAAACCCTATCTCGGAAAAAAAAAAAAAAACCAAAACCCAAAAAAACAACAACAACAAAACCTATTTCCTTCCCTTTCTGGCTGTATTTTAACCCAGCCTGCGATTTTCTGAACCTAAGTGTTTTCTGCCTTCTCCCCAAGACTTGTGGTTTGGGGACAGTGTTCCTGGGCTGTGCAGGCAGGAAGCCAGAAACTGGCAGGTGGCCCCTGAGGGAGGGACAAGGATGGCAGCCAAAGTGATTGTGGGAGGAAGAAGTGTCCTGGGATCCAAAGGCCTGAGACCCTCCCTGCAGTGACGCCCTCAGAGGTCACCCCTTCCACGTCGAGGAGGACAGAATCGTGGGGGCTGTGTACCCGCCATCAGTGTCAAATCTTGGGTTCCCAGACTCGGGCAATGTCCAAACCATCTCCGTGGTGGAAACCAACTACGACGAGTATGCACTGCTGCTCAGCACGGGCACCAAGGGCATGGGCCAGCCCTTCCTCATGTCCACCCTCTACAGTAGGTATCACACCCCACCAGGCCTCCACCCAGGGGAGACCCCTTAGAAGCTTGGCATGAGATTGAAAGAAGACGGAGACCTGATCCTGGGGGGGCATACCAAAGGGGCAGTCCCCAAGACACAGCTGTCGGGGCAGAATGGAGGTTTTTTTGTCCCCTGAGGCTGGCTCCTTCTTTATCTACCAGGCCGAACCCAGACCATAAAGGACGAACTAAAGGAGAAATTCACCGCCTTTAGCCATGCCCACAGCCTCACAGAGGAAGACATTGTTTTCCTGCCCCAACCGGGTGAGGGAGGCTAAGCTGCGGGGGAGGGAAAGGGAATTATAGTTGGATTAGAGCTAGACAGTCCTCTGCAGCAGGGTGAGGGGAGACTGGGGAGAGTGTGGCCCTTGCCCTACCTACTAGCCCAGGGGACTCCAAGGAAATAAATGGAGGTGTCAGTCTGTCCCTTTATGGCAACCCCCTTTATTGGGAACCCCCTTCCTGGTGGACTCCTAGCACCCCTGTCTGTGAGTCCCCAGCTAGAGGTTTAGGGGTGCTACTGGAAAAAACAGATGGAGAAAGACCACCCCTTCTGTTTTGAAAAAGAGACTGGAGGAGGGTTGGGATGGAGTCTGAAGTTTGGGGGCTCAACAAAAGCTAATGCTCCATAGCCTTGGGGGAGGTTTCTCAGAGGCAAGAGAAACGTACAAAGCCCTGATGAATATGGGTCTAAGCCTGCTCCTGACTACTTCCCTGGGCTTCCTTTTCGGCAGATAAGTGCATTTAAAAGTGAGAACAGGTAAGAGAAGCCAGTGGGCTGCGTTCACTTGGTAAGTGCTGTTCCTGTTCACTTACTCACACAACACATTACCACTGAGTGGTGGGGACTCTGCTCCCCAGACAGAACAAGGTCCAGGTGAGACAGCCAGGAAGGAAAATCATAGTTCCAATACCAAGGGCTAGAATGGGGCTGATGGCCACGGGCTCCTGGGGAGAGGGATAATGGTGTGGGCGCCTAGTCCCAGACCGAATGAGGAGGGACTTCCCCTCTGAAGCCCATCCTACAGCAGGGGTCTCCAAGGAACCAGAACGCACAAAATCAGGGAGGGGAATTGGCAAGGGATGGAAACGGGAAGTCAGAGGGCTCTTCACTAGTGCCATTGACTGAGACTTGGGGACCAAAGACTCTGGGGGGATCCTCCAGAAGGAGGCCCTTGCCAGAGCACAGTTTGGGCCCCATGGGGCCAAGGGGTTGCCTATGTCACTGACAGGTCCTGTTCTTCTGTCCAGGTGATCTGGCCCTCAGGACTCCTTCACTCTGTCACTCTCGAGACCATAGCCCTGGCTCCCCAAAGTGCCTCTACACCCTGCAGCTTTGTCTTGATTAAGAAATAAAGTCCAAAGCAAATCAGATCTTGACTCTTGTCTGTCTGTCCTCCGGGCCCCTGGGCTGCCCCTTGCCCCTCCCATAAATATCTCAATATGATAACCAGAGGGTTATCTGTTCTTGCTGAAGTCCTAACTAGGAACAGCCTAAGGGCTATGCCGGATTCGGCACCTACCCTGCATAGGGCTCCAACCTCACCACATGCCCCAACCCCGCTAGCCACAGCCCCTTCAAGCTGCTGACCACAACCAGGCCTGGGCTGGGCTGGTGAAAGTTAGTCACTTAATAGCTAATCCCTTAGACATGTGTCCACCCCTGCCCTGACAGTAGCCACTCTAGCAGGAAGAGGCTCCAGGGAGCCTCACATCCCATAAACTTTCAAGGTGTGGGATTAGAACCTTTGGATTGGGCAGTAAGATGAGGGACAAAAAGCTATTTGGTCGGGCGGTGGTGGTGCACACCTTTAATCCTAGTACCCAGCACTCGGGAGACAGAGGCAGGCAGATCTCAGTGAGTTCAAGGCCAGCCTGATCTATAAAGAGAGTTCCAGGGCAGCCAGGGCTGTTACACAGAGAAACCTGGTCTCAAAAAAGCAAAAAAAAAAAAAAAAAAAAAAAAAAAAAAAAAGGAGCTGTATGTGTGGTAGCTGCTAGAAGAGCATCTCTGCTCCCATGGACAGAGGGGACTGAAGAGAGCCTACCGACCTGTACCTCTGCCCACTCCGGCCCCCTCCGGGAGGGAGGGGAGAAGCAACCAAGTCAGGTGCAATTCCATCAGTGGCCTATCCCGGTGGGTTGTGGCCTAGGACAGGCCAGGCATCTCAGGGCATCCTGGGAACATGGAGTCCACTCAGAGGAAGGCACCCCAGCTCTCCTGCCCCGAGGATCCTCCACAATGCTGTAGGCTCTGCGGGTTCATCTCTAGGCTGGGCTCAGCTCCCCATCCAGGACAACTTTGTCCCTCACACCCATTTCACCTGCTTGTTCCTCCAGCCCAGGCCCCTGTCTGCACATTCTTCCATTCCAGCTTATCAGGGCCTTGGACTTCAAGAAAGACCTCCATCCACTTGCTGCATTGGACCAGGAGTGGGCTTTCGAGTATGAGTACACTGTCCAGAACCAGCAGTTGGAATACATTGCCTCAGTTTCCCAGCACTGGGCTGGGGTTGATCTAGGTACAGAAGCTGCGGGTGCTGGACACTGAGCATCCTGGCAAGATGAGGTAAGCTTTTACAGGATGCAGAGGTTTCCATACAGCTCGCCTGCCCTACCCTGCAGTTCAGGGCACCTGGTACATAGTTGGGGCTGTGTCAGATGATTAGGGCTTCCAGGACCCCAAGGAAGATGGGAAGATGCACGTGGTCCTCGTGAACCCCTTGCCCGATGGTGACCTGGCTGTCAAGCTTGGGTATCCCACATAAATGAACCTATGAACCTCACCTTCAGCGTGGCCTCAGACAAGTGTGCAGCTAAATGAAGGTCAGGAGGAAGCAGCTCTGTCCCTGACACACTGGAAGTGCAGCCCAGAGGCTCCTGACAGCCTGGGCAGTGAGACCCAAACAAAGGCCACAGAAGCCTGCTCTCCAAAGGACCCCAGACCACACCAAATCCTGCCTGAGGCCTGAGTGAGGAAACAGGGTCTGAATGTCTGTGTGTGTGTGCCTGCAGAGGAGGCTAGGGACTTGGCACTCCGTGGATGTGTGCCTTGGCAAACCCTCCTTAACTCCCCCACCCCAACAGGCCTTTCCTGTCCGGTAAGATGTCCTTAGATTTTTGTGAAGGCCAATAGGAGACCCTGTGACAGCTTTGCATGGGCAGTGTCCTCAGATCCCTGGGGTTAGGGCTGCCTGAAAAAGCAAGGCAGATCTCGGGGTGGAGCACCATCAAGGTTCACCACCCAGGTGTCAGGTGTGGACTTTTTCCTCCCCAGGCCAGATGTCGGATGCCAGGAGGTAGAAACAACCTTCACCAAGGGTGCTATGGCCAGGCAGTTCAGCAACCCGGGTGAGGAGGTGGATGGCCAGCAGTGTCGTTTGGCAGCAGGGAAAGAAGTGGGGGCGGGGTACCTCATTATGTAAGCTGCAGGATTGGCAAAGGGGCCAAGCCTTCCTGAGTGGAGTGTCCCAGGGGTGGCTTCCATATTGTGGATCTTCCTAGGTAGGCCTCCTTGAGTCCTGGTCCCAAGCCACCTCTTTCTCTTAGCCATGGCCTAGAGTGACATTCATGTGCCCTTCACGTACTACCAGCACTTGGCTGTGTTATACTTCAGGACAGAGAAGTTAGGCATTCAGAATGCCTGGCAGCAGCGCTACAGTGGGTTGGCAGAGGGGCTGGTCCTGATAAGCCATGGGACCAGACACAGGCCCCTCCCCAGAGCAGTGGCCCCAGCCTGGGTGGGAGTACCGCCCAGGTTCACATCTCATCACTTGCTCACTCACAGAGAGAGAAACTTTGTTTCTCAACGTGTCTTCTTAGGACTTCCAGAGTCTGGAGCAGGGGGCCCAGACTCCACAAACCCTACCCTACCCTATCTTTGTCCCTGCCCATCCGTGCTCAAGACCTTCCTTGCCTGCCCTCAGTCCACACCCCATAGATGTTTCCTGAAGGTGCACAGAAGATGCATAGGCTGGCACCCCAGCTAGGGTGCCCTGCTGCCTACATCAGGTGAGTGCTGCCTCCAACCCAGCTCAGGGCGGCAGGAGCCAGGACATTGAAGATCCAGACTGTAGAGACCCACAGAGGTTTCCTAGTGAGAACTTACTCAGGGTCCAAGAATCTGAGCTTGCTTTACCCAGCAGGGGATGATTACCAGGGTTTGGTAACATGGTTGTGGTTACTAGGTGTTTGAAAGGGTCTACACTTGGCTGTGCAGTGTGCTTTGATCTAGCAAGGTTGAAGTCTTTTGCCCCACCCCTTGGTGTTAGAAAAAGTCCTTTTGAAGATTGAGAAGGAACCATTGGGTTTTGATCCAGATCCTCCCGAAGTTATCCTGTGTTTCTGTCTGTCTCCTCCGCTATCTGTCTACAAGTTTCTTATCTCTCTCTCCTCCTTATAGGAACCCTTTAAAAGGTGGGAGCTGGCCTCCCACACCAGACTGGTCACATAAACCCAGAGTCACCCTACAGACTGCAAACCAGGGCGGAAGTCCCAGAGGACAGACACCCTTTGACTGTCTAGGCCAGGTGAGAGGAGAGAACGTCCAGGTCAGTACGCACAGGAGACAATCATTAGCTGAGGTGGAGGACTAAGAGAAGAGGCAAAGGTGTGCATGAGACCTGCTTTCTCAACAGATCGGTATATTGGTGCACTGGCATAGGTGAGTACCCTTGGAGATCCCTCCCAAAGCCCCACCCCATCCCCAACCACAACGGCGGTGGTCTCTGGTATGGAGAAGGCAGGGAAGCCTGGTCACCACAGCTCCAAGCAGTTCCCCTAACCCACTACACCCTCACCCCCACTTTTAACAATGCTTGGGGACTGGCTACACCCGCTCCTTGTTTTGCAGTGACGGATCCAGACATCCAGAGCCCAGTTGGGATTGTGCTGCCTATGTGCTGGATCTTCCCCCAAAAGAGCTCCTGGTTTCTCTGTACAGCTCCCCAAGCTGACAGAAGCAGTATTTGACAGGGGAAGGCAGAGAGTGGGTGGTGGGTGTCAGGGACTCCAGCCACATGAGCTGAGTCCCTCAGGACAGTACCTGCAGGGTTGGGTGCAGTTATGCACCCTGGGTGCTGGGAAAGGGCGGGACCTTGGTTCTGCAGGAGGAAGACCCAAACGTGCCTGAGGGTCCTTCTTGGATCCTGTAGACCCCAGCACCCAACTTGAGAGTAAAGTGCTGCTGGCTTAGCTGCCCAGAAGCTCCTGGCTTGGGACAGCAATTACACACAGCAAGCCATACCCCACCCTGCCCCGTGTGTGCCCTGGGCCCTGGGAGCCACTGTAGACAGGTTCAGCCTTCAAGTATCTCAAAATATAAGGCCGTTGAGATGTCTCAGAAGGTAAAGGTACTTGCTGCTAAGTCTTATGACCTGAGTTTACAAGCTATGTCAAATCTTACCCTTCCTGGGACCCAAGGGTGGAGGAAGAAAGCCAAGTCGTACAAGTTGCTCTCTGGCCTCCACATTTGCTCCGTGGCACACACTAAAATCCATAATGTAAAACAATAATAATAAGGGCAATGATTGAGGAAGGCAGCAAATACTGACCTCTGACCTCTACTTGCATGTGTGCACATGTGCACTTGCACATACATGTGCACACTTGAATTTGTACAACACACACAAAAAGGTAAGAGTACTACTGCTGTGTTTGTACAGGACAGTGTAGTCTTACTCATTTAGTCTTGTGTGTGTGTGTGTGTGTGTGTGTGCGCGCGCGTGTGTGTGTGTGTGTGCGTGCTGGGGCCCTGCTGTCTATCTCAGCCGACCAGGTCCCTGAGATCCTCTGGCTTCGGCCTTCCTAACTGGCTTTACAAGTGTGTTCCACTGTGCCCGGCAGCACCATTGTCTTGAAAAGACAAAACTGTCCTGAAATTTTTGAGAGTAAAGTTCAATGCTGTCTGTAATGTAACTTTAATAAAATTAAATTAAATTTAAAAAATACTGATTGTGAATTTGTAAAAATGTTGATAATTTTCCCATCTGGGGCTCATTTATGCTATTGTTGCTGCTTTCTAGTTGGTTTGAAATTTTTCAGTCAAAAAAAAAAGAAATTCCTATCTTTCCAGACTACTTTTTTGATTGGGGCTGATTGGGCTGAGAGGTCCACAGAGAAAAGAAGTACACACGCACACCCCTTTGTGCATGTACCCCAGTGGTCAGCCAGGCCCTTTAATGTCCCAGTACCTTCTGGTCTCCAGGACTTGGCCAACGGTGAGCCCTGTCACTCATCTGAAGGCTTGGGGTCTGGCCAGTGGGGAAGTGCCCACCAAGCTGGAAGTCCCGCTCCCGTCTGCTCCTGTGGCCACGGTGGTGCCTGCAAGGCGTGGGCAATGTTCAGTCAACCCAGCAAAACCCGAGTTCCCAACCCAGAGGTGTGCAGTGAGAAACGCTGCCTGAGCACTTGATTCATGTTCTATACCTTGTCATAGACCAAGAGGAGAGGTCTCCTAGGCCACGCAGCAACAGAGACAAAGCAGACCTTCCTGCACACCAGTTCAGCTTCACCTGCATGGACTCCCAAGAGGGTCTGGAATGGGGAGAGGCAGGCTGCCCTCTGTAGCCTCAAGGACACCACACCCTTCACTGTGAGGTTAGGAGTCCTAGTTCCTGGGAGTCCAGGAGTGATCCTTCCCTGTTGTCAGAGGTTAGTCCATACACTGCACTACCCTAGTATGGCCACAAGGGGCAGCTCTCAGCCAGTTCTTCAACCAGAAACAAAGTATGTCAACTCACTTATAACAGTATTACAAGCTATGTCAAATCTTACCCTTAATGCTGAAAATCCCTGAATCCCAGTGGGTCCCACCTTACCTAGAGTGGTCTTGGCATGCTGCTTGAGCAGGCCTGAAATTCCTTGGTTCAATGGACTGGAGAGATAGTTCAATAGTTAAGAGTAGTGGCTGCTCTTCCAAAGGACCCAAGTTCAATTCCCAGCACCTACATGGTAACTCACAACTACCTGTAATTCCAGCTTCAGGGAATCTTTTGGATTCTATGAGTACCTACACTCACGTGTACATAGGCACACACATATACATATAATTTAAAAATTAAAGAAAATATTCCTTCGTTCAAACAATGGTCCTGCCTCAGCCCCCGGAGTGGTTGGGGGCCACTGCTGTGCCTAGATCATTGCCGAAGCACTGAAGACACAAAATTGGAAAAACAAACAACAATGCCACAACCACCACAAGAAGAACCCAGCAGCTTCACAGACTGAGAATCAGATCACTGTAGAATTCAGCAGTTTACACGATAAGCTGTGTTGTCTCTGGGTCGGTAAGGTCTACAGACCCTCTGGTGGAAGAGGACGTGCTGCTTCCCAGGCCCGGGTCTGGACAGGCTCTGCCTCTGAGTTTCCTCATTAGCACTTGCAGGCCTCCTTACTTTGTTAGTCAAAGGTGTCCCGGGCTGCCTTGTTGTGGTGAGCAATACAAGAGGGATTGGGGAAGTGACAGCCATCACTTCTGCCCTATTCCAGTGGCTAGAAGCAGGACTTTAGGAGCAGTTTCTGGGAGGGGTCATTTGAGGGTGGAAATGCAAGCAGACGTCAAGACGGTCCTAGAGAATCCTGAAACCACAGTGACAAGCAGGGAAAATAACTAATGACATGCGAGAGAGGGGGAGAGATGGGCGGAGTTCAAATGCTCTACGCAGAGCCTTAAGAAAACCCTTTCAAAAGATGCTGCTTCAGCAAAGAGCGAAGGGTAGTGTATACAGGGCTGGGGACAGGAACCAACCCACACCAAGGCTCTGAGGCAGGAGCCTCATCAGGCCTGAAAAAAGTGGGAACTGAGGTATGTTTAGCTGACGGCACCCTTCAAATACGTTAGCTACAACAATTCACAGAGTCAGTAACCACTCCCCCCATGGCTCTCATAGGGTCATGACAGCCCTCTTGCACAGCCTTGGGAAGACTTCTGTTCCCATCCAGGCCTCGTCCTGAGCACACCCTTTCCCGGGCTCCACCCTCTGTAGATAGCAGCTCAAACACCAGCTCATATTCTGTAGCCCCTGATGTGGATTCCGATCAGCACTTTGCCGAAACCTGAGTGCTGTCCTGTTGATTATTCATCTCTTGCATTAGACCTCAAGTTCCAGAGACCTTGTGTTGGTCAAGGTGTCCTCAGATAAAACATCACGGAGAGTGGGGATGGGAGGGGTCAGACAATGGGAGGATATTGTATGGAGTAGGGAGGCTTCCCTGTTTGCACTGTTTACCAAACATACTGTACTCAGTCTTGCATTTTGGTTTGTTACAAGTCAGTGTGGAAAGAGTTGTGTTTGTATCTAAAGTGACAAGTAGGTCTGGAGGCCTCCAGGATCAGCCCATGGGGGATGTTTAGGAAAGAGGACCAGCATTGAAAAGCAGCAGGTGTGCGCGCGGTCGCTAGGAGGGACCCCGAAGAGCCGAGGGGCACAAGAAGTGAGGCCCTTAGAGATTTCTGCTAGGGTGCAAGGGCCAAAGGAAGGAGCCCGGTATAGCACTGAGGAGCCTCCTTCCGAAGGGGTTAGAGCTCTAAGTCCCGCCCTCTAGTCCCGCCTCTCTCTAAACCCCGCCCTCGAGGTGCCTCCAGCCCCGCCCCAAGCACTAAGCTCCACCCTCTAGTTCGGCCCTGTGAGCCAGGCCTGATCTCCGGAAACACTGCCAGCCCTGGGTACCGCCCCGCCCCGCAGTCTTGTCCTTCCGTCCTTCCAGACACCAGAAGCTCCGCCCCCGAGCGGACTCCGTAGCTTGCGAGTCACCAAGTTCGTACTTCTGCGCAGGCGCCCTCCTCCCACAATAGGTTTGGCTCCTGGGGTGAAACCGCTTTGCTGCCATGGCCCCTCCGCCGCTGTCGTCGCCGCCGCTTTGCATCCTGCCGCCAGGCTCAGGCCCTCCCCGCTTCGTGTGCTACTGTGAGCCGGAGGATGGGGGAGACCGGGACGGCGGCGGCTTCAACCTCTAGTGAGTGGGGTCTAGGGATGTGGGGTGCGGGGGTGCAGCGGCCGCTGTGCCTGACAGCCCCTCCCGCCCAGTGTGACGGACGCCGCGGAGCTCTGGAGCACCTGCTTCTCGCCTGACGGCCTGGCAACGCTCGTGCGTACCAGCACTGGGGATGGGAGACATCTGGGAGCCTAGCACCCCCTTACTCTCCCCCCTTTGGCTATGGTCCTAATCGTATTCCAAGGTTGGGCAGTTTGGAGTGTCCAGTGGGTCCAGGGTCTTGGGCTGTCAGTGACAATTCCGTGTTCCCAGCAGAAAGCCCGATTTGGTCTAAGTGGGACTGAGGACATCCCTTCCCGGTTCAGGTGAGTCCCAGTTAGGGAGGCCACGTGGGTGAGGAACTCGGAATAGGGTTAAAACACATCCTCTCTCGCCGCAGGGCAGCCTGCCAGCAGCAAGCAGTGACTGTAAGCCTGCAAGAGGATAGAGCCTTGATGACCCTCTCAGGAGACGCCCCTGCACTAACCTTTGACCTCTCCAAGGTGCCCAGCCCAGAGGCAGCCCCCAAGCTACAGGCTTTGACTCTCAGCCTGGCAGAGCGTGTGTTCAACCTAGAGAGGCGGCTAGCAGGTAGGCTGTATGTGATCACCTGTACCCTCACTGGAGGACCTGCTTTTGCGTACCCTCTTGGCATTGAGTGGGGTGCCCATGGCTTTCTCCCAGCTGCAGAAGAGACGGCCACTAGTCCCAGGAAGAACACCCATCCAGTGGGGCCTCAGCTTTTCTTACCAGGTAAGAGGTAGGCCTGCCATGTAGGTTGGGGCTAATCTTTCTCTGGAACTGCCTCCCCGGGTGCCTCATGTTCTAGAGAGAATCTTTCAGTGTGGACAGAGTTCTGGTCAGAGTTCTTTTGGGTTCAAGATTTCTCTGATCTGATTTTCCGGCAGAACTTGATCACCAGAGAGGCAGCTCTGGACTTGGGGTCAGGAGACGGTGTCCAGGGGAGTCTCTCATCAATCCTGGCTTCAAAAGGTACTTGCCACATGTCTTTCCTACCCTGGTCCCTTCCCTTTCCTCTATGCATTACATACTCTTGTCTTCTAGCAAGAGACCAGCTGGCGGTGTAGACTTCGATGAGACCTGAAAATACAGCAGAGCCTGTGACCTTGCCAGGAGCCTGTCTACAAGGAAAGGGGTAGATCTGAAACCCCCACCAATCAGAGAAACCCCTTGCTTAACTTGCTGCCTGGTCCTACTGTTGGGCAGGAATGCCTCTCATCCCTTCCTGGTGAAATAAACTGCTCTCTTGGGTAGAAATGCTAGGCCAGACTTGACTGGTGAGGATCGGCCTTGGAGGGGAGGCCAGAGAAGACCCTTTTGGTGTGGAGCCCCAGGATGCGAACAGATGCATCAGGCTCTGGGCATCCAGGAGGCTCTCCTGGCTAGATCTAGGGTAGAGCTTTCGTAGACTGACTTGTGTTGTTTCTGCATGGCCAGCCCAGAAGCTGAGAAGGTCCCAGCCTGGTAGGGCCAGGACTTCATAAGGCTTGGAATGCTGTCCCACACTTCTAAGCCCCACCCAGGCAAGACAGGTCACACCTGTCCCATACAGAGATGCACAGAGGAGTTGTCTTGGGGAAGATGGCATATTTGGAAGGCCACTACAGAGTGTCAGGCAGCGGAAGCCCCTTCTAGGAGGAGGTGGGGTTGGCCCACAGCCTGTGGCAGGACTAAGGAATGTAGGCCTGCCACCACCCACCTGGCCAGGATCCCAGAGGTTGAGCTCCATGGGGCTCTGCTCCCCACCCTTCTTGGCCATCCAGGGCACCGCGCCCAGCTCTGGCCTGACTGGTTTGGGAGACTAATCCAGTCCCCTAGATCCCTGATGCCACTGTGCCAGGGCAGCTGTAGGGGGCCCCAGGCCTTTGCTAGCACCATGGAGAGGATGAGCTGTACCTTGCCTACTGGACTCCCGCCCTCATCATTTTAGGCTGTCTTCTTGAACTATGCTTCTTACCATGGGGTTGGGCTGGCGTAATTGTGGGCCTCTGGCCACTTGGATGTTCAGGACACGCTTAACTTGGGGCAGAGATGCCTTTATGGGGCTGCAGATGAGTGTATGGGGTCAGGGGTGCTAACGGGGGTGCACAGCAGGCTGATAAGCTGCCAGGATCTCGGCACTGTGTGGACACGTGTACTTGAACTCCTTCTCCTGCAGGGCACTGTCCAGGTAGCGGCGGACACCACACAGTTCCTCAGGGATGGGCATCTGGCGGAAGTGTGCACACACGGTCTGTAGGTACAATAGAGTATGATTTCGGGCCTCGCTCGATGGCCTTTCTCCCCACACCTACCAGTTGGTCCCTAGCTTACATCTACAATATGCAGCTTGGGCAGCAGGCTGCAGTCAGCCAGTGTGAACTGGTCACCGTCTAGGAAGCGGCGTCGGGACTCACGAAGTTGTGGCTCCCTTTCTAGTTCATGGTCTAGTGGTGCACGCAGGTAGCTGTCCAGCCTGGTCAGGGCCCGGAGCAGCTGCTGATATAGGGCTTGGGGGCAATGGCACAGTAAGGACTCAGCCTTGGTCTTGGATTGACCCTCCTGCCCGTACCTTCTGACTGTGTCTCACCATTGTCCTGTGTAGGTACTGGGTTCTTGATGAAGGCAGAAAACTTGTGGAAGATGTCATTTCCTGCGGTATTGGACTCCCGGTACCTAGGTGCCAGGCTAGGGAAGCTGTAGGTGTGAGGGGTTTGAGAACTCCAGTCAGATCCTCAACACACACTCTGTCTCGAAGCACCCTTCCTAGGCACTCTCCCAGGGTGTCCCCCCACCACCACCAGGGAGTCCCATCTTTGCCCTCCTGCCCCCTCCGGTGCTCACTCAGGTGGCCTCAGCGTCGCCTCTAGAAACTCCTCAATCTGCAGCGTGTCTGTCTTGGCCTCCCCATCATAGAGCAAGATGGGCAGCTGTGAGCCCGGCGCGAAGTCCTTCAGCACATCCAACGCCCTGTGGACACCAGGCAGAAGGGAGGTGGCTGGCCTGAGGGGGCAGAAGCCAGGGAGGGGTCCAGGGCTGGGTCTCACCTTCGTGTGTCCACTGTGGTGAGTGTGAAGGGCACACCCTTGAGGAGCAGGACCATGAAGAGCCGTTGGCAGGAAGGGCAGTGACCCACGCTCTCGCCGTCTTCACTGGCCTGGGTGGGTGGAGCAGGGGTGTTGGACTGGGAGCAGACTCAGGATCCCCATACCTGGCTGGGTGGGAACCTGCCTCCCACTGCCATTGGCTCTGAGGCACACCAGGACTCTGGCCTGGCTGGGCATGGCATCTACAAGTGTCTGGTGAGGGCCCTTGACCTGATCCCTGGAATGGGGAAAGCAAGAGATGCTGGGAACTTGGAGGCGGGTAGGGACAGTGCCTGCCTGGGATTGGGGTCCTGCCACCGTCCTTTCCTTCCAGAGCCAGAGAGTTCTAGTCACAGAAACTGGCTACAGGGTGGGGTAGGCCAGAGAGTCATCTCCTAAGTGATCAACCCACACAACTGGGTATTGAAGCTGACAGCTCAGCTCAGGGAAGTGGCCAAAGAGGAGGCCAGGACCTGCCCCCCACTCAGATCCGAGCACTGGCCTGAGAGCTAATGGGGCTATCTGGCAAGCCCCCTTCTGGCACATGAACCTGAATCTCTAGCTGAATCTCTGGTACAAGCTACCAGACTGACACCTCCCCACCATAGGGCTTTCTCCCAGGGCTGGGCCAGGTCCAGGAGCCAAAGTGAAGAGCAGGACCCAGGCTATCTGATGCCCCCACCATGGGGACTCCTCCCCAGGCTGCCTGACTGTTTAGTCCTGTGTGGGGCAGCTTCAGCCCACCACAGGGGAAGGGCACCCTTAGGAAGACCCACCCCTCAGCCTTGCACAAGAAAACAGAACACCCCTTCCAGCCCAGCCTGCCCAGAACCTTGACAAACAGCTGGAGCTTGGTGGTTTCGGCCATGGTAGGAGCTGAGGCATCCGGCGGCAGCACAGGGCACAGGGTGTGCCTTGGGAGCTCTTTAAATCTCCCTGGATGCCCCACCCTCCCCAGTCTGTGGGCCCGCCCCACAGAACCACCTAGGCAGCAGATAGGATGCCAAGGCAGAGCCAACTGTTTGTACAAGACCAGAGTGTCCATGCATAACAGTGACCACAGGGAGCCTGAGTCTCAGGGCTGGCTGTGAGTATGGGAGACTCTGGCTCACAGCAAAAGACGGAAGCCTCAGTGTGATTGTGATGAGGCCCGTGTGGTGAATGCAAACTGGGGTGGGTGGGTGAGGAGGTCAGGAGAGACCAGGGGCATAGAGTACTACTAGCCTGGAAGGGGAAGTTCTGGATTGGAGCCGCGCTACACTGATCTCAGCCCAGGGCCTGCTTCACAGCCCTCCGCAGCAAATCCTCTTCATTGTCAAATCTTTATCTTAAAATGCCTCAGTTTGCCCTTCTGGAAGAGATGCCCCCTCCCTCCAACAAAGCCCAGCCAGGTAGGGCCCTCTGCCCTCAGGGCGGGCCCACATTCCTGACATGTTCCTGGCTGGCAGGCTGATAAGCCTGGGTTTTGATGTTTAACCCAGCTGGGCAGGGGATTCCATGCCCCGTCCTGTCCACACAGGCTCCAAGCAGGTCTCTTACTCTTAACCTTAACCTTCAGATGGCACCAGGAAGGGTTAGGAGCTGCTACCTGCTGGCTGAGGAGCTGGGAATGTGGTCCCCAGCAGAAAGGAAAAGGCCAGGATAGTCTGACCCTACCGGGCACATATCTGCCACTCAGGCTTCCTGAGCCTACTGGGGTCCACAGTGTGAGTTCCTTTGGCATTTGATAGCAGGCCGCCCTGCAGGAGACTTGGCCTTCAGAACTTGTGCTCCCGGAGGACTGGCACTGCCCACGGCTAAGACCAGGACCTGTTGATTGCTTTCCTCTCTCCGGTAGGTTGGTGCCATCCAGGCTGGATAGTTCAGCCAAGGTGGCTCCGTACCTGCCCACTCACCTGCTCACATGCCTGACTCTGGCCAGTGCCTCAGCTGTCCCAGGCATCCTGCTCCCTGAGCCCCATCTGGTCACTTCCCTGATCTCAGCTGAGCTCCCAGACAGGTAGAATGCAGCGCTGACATCCTTGGAGCTTGCATTTGTGCCAGAGTCTCAGTTTCCCCTCTGACTCTTGCCTTAACTCCTACAGCCAGTTTTATTTTGGCATCTCACTGACATGGTCAGCTTTCTGCTTTGTGGTTTTCTGTCCTCTGCAGGCAGATCACCACTGCAGCCCCTGAAGCCTTTCCAAACTGCCAGTGGTCACCAGACAGGCCCTGTGTTTACATATTTTTGCAAAGCTGCCCTTAGAAATGCACAAGAAAGGGTGAGGTGGGCAGACAACATGAGCAGTGGTGTATGTGTGTGTGTGGGGGGGGGATACACACCTCAAGAACCAAGCCAAAGTGCTGCAGCCCCTTTACTGTTACAGGCGGCGGCGGGGTTGTGGACGGGTCCCGTGTCGGTCTGCGGGTGGTAGGAGCCATCCATGCTCTCCTCTCCTGCTCATCATCTCCTGGAGTCAGCTCCAGTTTGCCTCCCAAACCCCAGGGTCATCGCCGCACCACTGAACTGTGTCCCTCGGAGGGAGTGGGATGAGAGATGGGCCCACAAGTGCATGCCAACAGAGTGGGTATTGAAGGTTTGTTGTGTGCACCCAAAAGCTTCAACCCCAGGGCCTGAAACTTTATTGGGAGAGAATGTCCTTAAAGAGGCAATCGGATTGAAAATGAGACCGGCCAGTAGGTTCTCATTCAACATGACCGTGTCCTTTCCAAAGGGGAGATCTGTGGCTAGGGTACATTCCAGTGGTAGAGAGCTTGCCTGGCATGCACGGCCCTGCGTCTGATTTTCAGCACCGTAAAGGGGATAGAGGACATTTGAACACAGACATGGTCGCAGAACATCCCGCGAACATGATGCAGAGGAGCACAGGATGACACACCTATGCTCCAAGGATTGTGGAAGGCAAAGTCCAGGAGCTGGGGAAGGGCCTGAAACACACCTTCCCTCAGGCTTTTAGTGAAGCCAGCCTGCCCTAACGCCAGGCTCCTCTTTGTGTGGCCGCCACAGCAGACCAATACAAACAGGGTAACACAGAGAACGGGAAAGAAAGCATCGTTAGCATGCAGGACTATGAGCTTCTGCTGGTCTATTCTGAGCCAGAGACATCTGTAGGCAACTTCTTTTTGTTGCTGTTGTTTGTTTTGTTTTTGTTTTTGTTTTCCAAGACATGGTTTCTCTATGTAACAGCTCTGGCTGTCCTAGAACTCACTTTGTAGACCAGGCTTGGCCTCAAACTCACAGAGATCCACCTGCCTCTGCCTCCCGAGTGCTGGGAGTAAAGGTGTGCACCACTACCTGAAGGTAACTTCTGACAGAGGTACACACACCAACTTTTGCTCTGTTCAGACGTGTGTTTCCAACCTGTGAGTTGTAAATAGTTTATTTATTTAGTTTTTTTTTTTTTTTTTGAGTTACCTATTTATTTATTTGGTTTTTTGAGATAGTGGTTCTCTGTGTACTCCTGGCTGTTCTGGAACTCTCTTTGTAGACTAGACAGGCCTGGAACCCAGGTAGATCTGCCTGCCTTGGCTTCCTGAGTACTGGGACTAAAGGTGTGTGCCACCATGGCCAGTAGTTGAAATATTTTAAAGGAATGAGAAAAGCTGGTGATGCAGGCCTGCCATCCCATCTACTTAGGAGGCTGAGGCAGGAGGATCATAAATCCAGGGGGACCTAGGGAGGCTTTGTCTCAAACAAACAAGTGAAAAGGTTGTGTGCAGCTGGCTTGGAGGTAGAGCAATTCCCTAATGTGTGGGGCCCTTCAATCTAACTCCACCAGCACCCCACCCTCCAAAAAATTAAATGCCACCCACTTTAACTGAACCCACGATTTGCCCAGACCATAGGACCTTGCCTGGAAGTCTCTACTACATACAGAGCATCTTCTGGAGCTGCTAGACCCAAGACTGCTTCATGTCTCCCTCCTTGTACCTTCGACTCCCTGATAAAATTGAGATTGTCAGCCGGGCGGTGGTGGCACACGCCTTTAATCCCAGCACTTGGGAGGCAGAGGCAGGCAGATCTCTGTGAGTTCGAGGCCAACCTGGTCTACAAAGCGAGTTCCAGGAAAGGCGCAAATCTACACAGAAACCCTGTCTCGAAAAAAAAAAAAAAAAAAGAAAAGAAAAAAAAGAAAGAAAAAATTGAGATTGTCTCTTATAAAAGTCCTGCTCCTGTACAAAGTTTCAACTGTGGTTTTTTGTTTGTTTTGTTTTTGTTTTTGTTTTTGTTTTTTAAGATATGGTCTCATGCAGCCCAGGCTGGCCTTGATCTCCTGATCCTCATACCTCCACTTCTCAAGTGCTGAGGTTACAGGTGTATGTCATCATACCTGGCCTCTACCAGCTGGGAGGGTTGTGTCTCCCTTCTCTTCTGAAGGGAGACACAAACTTGTTAGGGTGAGGGGCTGGGGTACATTGGAGTATTGGTGGGGATTTACTCCGATATTTCCGAGCTCTGCCTGTAGAACGTAGGTGTGGTGACATGCCCACAGTAGACCTAGTACCAAGATCCTCCATCTCCCCAAAGGGCTCTGCCGTGCCATGTCTCCCCAGACATGAAATATGTTGAAACCCTCGTAGCCATGGTGAAGGATTAGGAGGTGGGGCTTATCAGACCTTATTTGAGCATAAGGGCAGAGCCCTCATGAGCAGGAGCTGTCATCTTACAAAGGAGACCCATCAGGATCCCACATAGAGAATTCTGCTCTCAGATTCCTAGTCTCCAGAACTATGAAGAATTAATGTATCGTTTGTGGGCCCCCAGCCCCAGAGGGGAAGGGAGGAAAGGTTGATCTGTGTGTGGTCTAGAAAGCAGAGGCAGCTCAGAAACTGTCGGAGCAGGGCAAAGAGACATAGGCCAGGCCAGGCCAGGTGTGGTGGCTTCTGCCTCTAATCCCAGCATTTGGGCAGCCTTGGTTACACACAAAGATTCTGTCTCAAAAACAACAACAAAAAGCAATGGCCAGCCAGAGATGGTCAAAAGCACTTGCTGTTAAAGCACAAACCTAACAACCCAACTTTGATCCCTGGAGCTGATGGGTGAAGAAGAATCAACTCCATGGCCCATGCAGGCCTAGACACACACACACACACACACACACACACACACACACACACACACACACATGTCCTCCCTCTCTATCTCTCTCTCACACACACAGAAATAATAAGGAAAAATTTAAGTGCATAGGTCACAGTGACACAATTTTGAAAGCAGAGGGGACTCTGTGACAATGTCAACTAACAAGCAGAAAATTAAATGGTCATCAGCCCTGGGCAACAAGCTATTGCCTCATTATCTGCTAGAAGAGAAACATCCCCCAGTGGGAAGCTGAAACCATGCTCCGGAATAGGCCTTCACCAGGACTGCTGGCCTTGGGCATATCATAGCCCACAGTATTCTTCCCAAAAATGTCCAACTGCATCTGACCCAGGAAATGATCAGACCCACCCAGAACTCAGCACTTGCCAAACCTGTCCTGGCTGAGGGGCAGGAAGAAAAAGAGGGAGAGTGTGTCTGAGACAGCTGTAGCATAAGGAAATACAACTCTAACTGGTCCTAGAGGCAAGAGAGTCTTCTCTTTCTTCTTTCTTTCCTGTTTTTGTTTTTAGACAAGATCTTCTGCAGCCCACGCTGGCCTCGAACCCCTGAACCCCCTCCAAGTGCTGGAGTCACAGGTATACCAGCAAACCTAATGTGCTGGTTAGTTTGACGTTAACTTGACAAAAGCCAGGGTCATCTGGAAGGAGGGAATCTCAACTCAGAAAACATGTCCATTAGCTAGGCCTGGAGGCAAGTTTATGGGGCATTTTCTTGATTGATGGTTGATCTAAGAGGGCATGCCCAGCCTGCTGTGGGTGGTGCTATCTCTGGGCAGGAGGTCCTAGATTGTATAAAAAAAGCAGGCTGAGCAAACCGTGGAAAGCAAGCCAGGAAACAGAGTTCCTCCATGGCCTCCCCTTCAGTTCCTGCCTGCAGGTTTCTGTCTCGGCTTCCCAAAATGACAAACTGTAAGATGAAATAAATCTTTTCATCCCTAAGTTCTTTTTGGTCGTGGTGTTTAGCAATAGAAAGCTAACTAGAAGACTCAGCTGCTCTTTCCTGATTAACACTGCATGTAATATGCCGGGCGGTGGTAGCACACACCTTTAATCCCAGCACTTGGGAGGCAGAAGCAAGTGGATCTCTGAGTTTGAGCCCAGCCTGGTCTACAGAGTGAGTTCCAGGATAGACTCCAAAGCTACACAGAGAAACCCTGTCTCGGGGGAAAAAAAACAAAAACAACAACAAAAATACCACCATCAACACTGCATGCCATGAATCCCATTTATTCACCATAGCACTTCACTATTACCAGATTGAAAACTTCAGAATGTGAGTCTTTCAGAGTCCCAACTGCAGCCAGTCCACCTCCAATGACCACGGAGTTGGTGGGCGCTGGATAACTGTTCGGCTGGTTGTTGTAGGCCCTGGCTGGTTGATGGGTAATTTGTGCCAAAGTAAAGGGTAAGGGCAATAGTGATGGCCCTGGAGCCCTGCCGGCGGCACACACGGTTGCCCTGACTGGCCTCCAGTCCGTAGCCTGTGCTGCTCTTACAGCAGAAGCTTCTGGTCGCTGGCCACCCAGATGCTTCTGTTCCTTCTAGCCCTGCTCAGCTCCTCAGCCTACTGGGCTTGAGATGGGGATGGTGGGAGCCTCAAAGGTCCTGTGTCCTGGAGCTTTTTTAATAGCTACATAGGAAATGCCTCAGACTATGGAGTGACAGCACTGTGTCCTTGTTGTCCCCAGAGAGAGGTCCTTGCACTCAGAGGAGGGGTGCAGCTGCTAGTTCTGGGCTGCTACTTATTTTCTGATGGGTTAGCACAAGAATCGTGCTTACAGATTGCGCCAAAAACCATAGGCTGGGTATGGTGGCGCACCCCTTTAATCTCAGCATTCAGGAGGCAGAGGCAGGTGGGTCTCTGTGAGTTCGAGGCCAGCCTGGTCTACAGATCAAGTCCCAGGACAACCAAAGCTACATAGAGAAATCCTGTCTTGAAAAAACAAAAACAGAGTGTTTTAAATCACGAGCTTGTGCAGAGGGCACAGGGTGTACACTGTTCTTTCCTTGCAACTGTTCTGGAAGTTTCAAAAATAAGATGATGGGGTACACCTTCAGATTGTCACAAATTCAGAAGCTTAAAGCAATTCCTCCAAATTCATGCTCTGTTTTAAGGGCACGAATTAGTGCCCTTCATTGGATCCCAGACACCAGGCTCTGGATTCGCTTTTGGAATTCAGGATCCGTGTGTGTGTGTGTGTGTGTGTGTGTGTGTGTGTGTGTGTGTGTGTGTGTGTATGTGTGTGTGTGTGAGCCAGAGAAAACCCTCAGGAGTCACCCCTTAGGTGCCTGCCACATTCACTGTTGTTTTGATGGTATTGCAGATTGAACCTAGAACCTCAAGCATGCTAGGCAGGTGCTCTACCACTGAGCTGTGTCCCCAACCCCCTTTTCCTTTTGTTTATTTTGAGATAGGGTCTCACTATGTGGCTCTGGCTGGCCTGAAGTTGTTATATAGACCAGGCTGGCCTTGAACTCACAGAGAGCCACCTGCTGCTGCCAATGAGTGCTGGGATTAAATGTATGCACCATGATACCCAACTTACTTTTTGAAACAGGGTCTTTGTAAGTTGTTCAGGATAGCCTTGACTCATTTTGTAGACCAGGTGGGCCTGAACTTGCAATTCTGCTTCAGCACCCCAGGAGCTGAGATTATAGGCCTATGCCAAGAGTCAAGTATTTTAGGTTTCTTAAAATTTTATTTTTATTATATTATTATTATTATTATTATTATTATTATTATTATTATTATTATTTTGGTTTTTTGAGACAGGGTTTCTCTGTGTAACAGTCCTGACTGTCCTGAAACTCACTCTGTAGACCAGGCTGGCCTCAAACTCACAGAGATCCGCCTGCCTCTGCCTCCCGAGTGCTGGGATTAAGAGAACATAGGATCCTCTAGAGCTGGAGTGACAGGTGGGTGTGGCCCACCTGACATGAACGCTGGACTGAACTAGGGTCCTGTGGAAGAGCGAGGGGTGCTAACTGTTGAGCCATCACTCCCAACTCCTGGAATAAACTTTTACTTATGTGTATATACACACATCTGTGTGTGTACCACATGTGTGTGGGTATCTGTGGAAGCCAGAAACTGTATCCCCTGAAACTGTAATTACAGAGTTAGGAACAACCCAACGTGGGTGCTGGAAACTGAATCTGATCCTCTGGAAGACTATCAAGTGTTCTTACCCCCACACACAGCCCCATTCCTGTGTCTTAACAAGCTCACCCTCTGTCCCCCCTGCTTTTCCTCTCCACCCACTGGCCCAGCCTCTGGGACCGCAGAGGGCCCTGCAGCTTTCGTAGCCCACAGGACACAGCACCTTGGCACCCTGCCCACTCCCACCCTTCCTTCTTCTCTCCTTTCCCTCACAGGGTGCCAGCCAGCCCTCTATCCTCCTCGGGGGCTTCTCTGTCCCTAATCTCTAAGCACTTGAAAAGTCTCAGGGGGGAACCTGAACAAGACAGAAGTGTGAGTCTGAGACCCTTCAACCTGTTGCCCCGACTCCTGTGTGGCATACACAGAGCCCCATCACTAGTTAATCTGAGTTCCCAAGCCCCATTTCTCCTGGGCCCTGTTCCTCCTGGATCTTGTTTTCCTAAGCTCTGTGCCTTAGGGCCTTTCTGTACATTGACCCACTTTACCACCTAGCAGGGGCAATGTGAGGTATGGACTTCACCTCACCAGACACCCGCTAGCACAGGCCCACCGCCTTTGGGAAATTCTTATGCACCCAGACTCCTGGAGATCTTCTCCCAGAACCCCCTCCACTTTTCAGGAAGTAGAGGCAGCCCGGAACAAATGGGCTCACTGTGGGCAGTAGGCCTTGTTGGGGGGATGCTAAGATGCTGAGGGACAGCATCAGTGCTGGATGAACAACACTGCACAACCCCTTCCAGAAGCCCACCTAGGACCCGCCCACAGAGCAGGGGTCTGGGCTGCATGGGCAGGGAGAGGAAAATGATAGATCTCCCCATCTGAACAGCCCCTCCCTTCACACCTGGTACAGTCAGACTACACCCTGGCCCAATGGGCCTGCCTTCACCCCAACTCCCTGTCACATGCACAGGATCCCACGGGCTTTTTTTTTTTTTTTTTTTTTTTTTTTTTTGCTTATTTATTGAAAACAAACATCTGTGCGCTATATACAAGGTCCCGCTCCCCGGTGGGTGGCGGGAAGGGCCAAGCTGGATGGGAGAGCAAAGGCAGCTTGAGGGGACAGGGAGGGGGCAGTGGCCCCTCACCTGGCCAGCAAGCCCAGCTTCTCCATTCCTGCAATTCCACCAGGGCCGAGGCAACCACATTCATGGCTTCCCATGGGTAGCCTAACTTCTTCACAACAGCAGAGTGAGGGAGGCTCTTAATGCAAAGGAAGTAGGCAAGCTGCCCGGCCCCCTCCTGCAGTCAGGGATGTCCACGAAAAGACATCTGTGCAAGACGCTGGCCTGGGTAGACTCGGGGCCGCTGCAGAGAAGGGTCACAGGATGCTTGGGGCAGCCCATGTCACCCTGGGAAGGTGATGGTGCTGGGTAGGGTAAGGGGCTGGGCCAAGACCCAAGGCTTTAAGGCAAAGCAGGGTGAGGGTATGTGCAGCCCAGGGCCAGGCCAGCCTTTGGCACAATTGGGAGAGGGCGGCCAGAGTGACCGCAGGATGAGGTGAGGATGGTGGTAGTTGGGAGGAGGGCGGGAGCCCTTTGGTCCTGAACCTGCCTTTCCAGGGCCTGGCGTGTGTGACAGGGCTATGGCCACCGCCTGACCTCTGCCCCCCACAGCTGCATCCCTGACTTGGTTCTTGATGGTCAGCAGAGCGTGTCCGTGTTGAAGGAGAGCTGGGCCTGGAGAAGAGCAGACAAACTGGGCTCGGGCAGGCATCTTCAGCACCCCGGTGGGAGCTGAGGGCGTGCACACTGGGCCTTCCCACTGGCTGGCTACTGGAGCTCCCGAGCACTCTCTCCCCACTAAGCATTCTTGGGCGTCTGGCCCTCCTGCCCGGTGTGGTAGTCACAGCCTGGAACTCTCCCTAGTCTCGTTTCCTGTAATCCCTGCCTCTGATCTGGGGTCTTCAAAGCTGCCAGCGTGTTCTGGGCTCTGCCCACCCCATATCCACCCGAGTCCTGAGCACGAGTCCCTCCTTGTCCTATGACTCTAGACAGCAGGTGTATCCACAGCCAGTTCCCTCACTTAGGTCCTTCAGCCCGAGCCTCTGGGCGCGAGTGTGGCCGGAAGAACGCTGACCACTCACCCGCTCTTCCTCAAAGCTGATGAGCCCCTCATCCTCCGTGTCCAGGTCCTCTGGCTCATCAGCCACCAGTGCCCGGAGCTCCGTGGGTGCGGGGCGGGGCCTCAGCAGGTTGAGTAGTCCAAGGGGAGATGGCAAGGTCGAGGGTTCAGTCTCTTGCTGCTCCACATTGTCACTCTGCTTCTTGGCAAAGTTCACAAATACCTGTGGACAGATGGTGGGCTAAGCCATATGGGCGGATCCCGGAAGACACAGCCCACGCCGTGCAGCACACTCACGTTGTCCAGGGTGGTCTGGCTGACTGAGTAGTCCTCGATGCCCAGCACGCCCACCACCTGCTCCATCTTGCTGAACACCTGAGCCAGAGAGATGTGCTCTGACTTGAGCTGGTACTGCACCTTCGTGTGATGCCGTTCCTGGGAGGAGGTCAGGGGAGCGTGGAGGTCAGCGGCTGCCAGGGCAGGGCACGGCACACCCTCACCCTTACTCCGTCCGACCACACCCACCTTGAGCATGGCCTCTGGGAAGTTCCGGTTGAAGAACCGCACCACATCCTTCACATTCTGGCTGCTTTTGGTCCTGACAGTGATCATGTAGCCATCCCCAAACCTGGTGGGATACAGGGGTGGCCGGGAGCCCTGTGGGCCTGACGGGCTCACCCTGTCTTCTGCAGCCCTGTTTGACTCACCTGTTCTTGAGGTGCTGGATGCTGCCCAGGCAGCGCAGTCGTCCGTTCACCATGATGGCCAGCCGCGTGCACAGAGCCTCACACTCCTCCATGCTGTGGGCAGACAGCACAGGCTGGCACCAGGGGGACTGCCAGAGGCCCGTGGAGGGGTCGGGGAGAGGCACACCTGTGTGACGTCAGCACCACCGAGCGTCCTGTCTTGATGAGGTCCAGAATGAGGTTCCACAGGAAGCGCCTGGCCTTAGGGTCCATGCCAGTGGTGGGCTCATCCTAGGGCAGGGGTGGGTTCATCCAGAGACATAGCCCACCCAAACTGGTTCTACCCATCTATTCCCTGGCTCATCGGGAAGCAGAGGGAAGTAGGGCACCTTCCCCTCAAACTCACAGAGAGACCAGAAGGGGTAGCTGTCTCCCATGCCCCAGGACTTACCAGAAAGATGAAGGCAGGGTACCCAATGAGTGCAATGGCTGTGGAGAGCTTCCTTTTGTTGCCGCCGCTGTAGGTCCCAGCGGGCTTGTCCGCATACTTTGTCAGTTCCAGCTTCTCCAGGGCCCACTTCACCACCTAGCGGGGCCAATATGAGGTACAACAGGGCTTCCCCTTACTGGACACCAACCGGCACAAGCCATGTACACACCGGTGCGCCCACCGGCTGCTTCCCTCCCGACCTCACCTGTGCTTCATCCTTCCAGGGGATGCCGCGCAGCCGGGTGTACAGTTGTAGGTGTTCCCGAGCCGTGAGCTCATCAAACAGAGCATCGAACTGCGGGCAGTAGCCAAGGCTCTGCTGTACCTGAAGCAGGTCCTTGAGCACACTGGGGACAGAGGGCAATCAATACCCCACACCTGCCCTCCTCTACCCTGGGGACACAGTCCTCCCACTCCTCCATCTGCACACACGCCCTTGCCCCCGAGGCGCAGGGTCGCCCGCTCAACCCCTCACCCCTGCAGCTGCGTGCCCGGAAGTGGTGACACACTGACACACTCACTCCGCGCCTCCCTCCAGGTGTGTCCGAGGGCCCCGGAACCCCACCTGTGCCCGTTGACAAAGGCCTCGCCTCCTGTTGTGCTCTCATCACCAGTCAGCATCTTGAAGGTGCTGGTCTTTCCCGCTCCGTTGACGCCAAGGAGCCCAAAGCACTCTCCAGGGCGCACGCCCAGGCAAAGGCGGTCCACGGCCAGGATGCGGCCAATCTTCCGAGACTTGTACACCTGGCCGAAGAGCCTTCCCACTCAGCGAGGGACGGGGCTCCTGCCTGGCCTGGCCCCACCCCTGCTGGAAACCTCTCCCCACCCCATCCCCTACCTACTTTCCCACAGCCCAGAGCCTACCTTGGTCAGGTTCTCGATCTTGACCATGTCATTGTCAGCATCCCCACGGAGCACTCTCTGCCGCTCACTGGCGACGTCCACGTCATCCTCCACAGGTTTAGTAGACACAGGCAGGCGTCTAGGGCAGTAAAGTTGGCAGGGCCCGGCCAAGCCACCCACCCCCACCAAGGGTCCCTGCCATCGCCCAACACTCTCCACTCACTGTGGCTGCCGCAGGAAGTTATACTGGCACATGATGGTGAGGAAGAATCCCACGAAGCCCTCCACTGTCATGGCCACCAGCCCACGTGTGACAATGTCCCACTCAAATGGGGACTTCATCTTGTCAAACTGGCCTGTGGGAGAGCTGATTCAGGGCCTGAGAACCTCAAGGAGTCCCAGTCACCCCAGCACTGGAACTCACTGAGTCCAGGACTAGGCAGGCCACCCTGCGGCCCCCTGCAGGCCTCCACGGTTCACCCGGCGCCAGACTCACCAATCTTGGCGTAGTATTCGTTGATGTACTCATTGTAGGCCATCTCCATGAGCCCGTGGCCCAGGTTGTAGTTGGGGAAGATGAGGAAGCAGCTTTTCAGGTAACTGTTGACAACCTTCAGATCCTGGGGGCCAGGCGCAGCTCAGCACGGCCGCCCCAGGCCGTGCCCCGCCGCCCAGCCCCCCGACACTCACCTTGTCATGCTCAAAAAGCTGCAGAAGGAAGGTAGCCACGGTGGCCGTGATGCCGATGAAAAGGTTGATGACGATGAGGAACACGTAGGCTGAGCTGGGGACCTCAAACCAGAAGGAGGCTGGGTACATGATGGGTGTGATGGACCACCTGTGGGCAAATAGCCGTGGTCACAGGGTACCCCCGGCCACACCCCGACCGACTCCAGGGCCTTCCCCAGCTTACCCATAGAGCAGGAACAAGGAGAGCACCGCTGGGAAGTTGGTGGGCGACGTGTAGGCCGGCAGATCAAACACAAACAGGATGATGACACAGCAGGTCGCTGGGACCAGGTAATTGAGCTGCAAAGGCAGAGGGAGCCGGTGAGAACTGGGCACGAGGACAGGAGACGGGGATGGGAAGGGACCATGCGGGGGCACACCATGTCCCACACGTAGTTGGCTAGCCAGTAGATGACAGGGTTGCACCCGCTGACGAACTGCAGGTGCTTGGCCTTGGTGGATTTCTCTGCCACAAGGAAGACCACGAAACTGGCCGGCACGAAGGACATGGCCACAATGATAAAGATGGCGATGACCACGTCTGTGCCCTGCAGTCTAGAAGAGGACAAGTACTCAATTCCAGGGGGTGCTCAGGACCACAGTGGGTCCTGCCCCTCCCCCAGCACAGTCGGCCGCACTTACAGGTAATCCAGGGAGAGGCTAGCACTGGTCTTGTTCATGGGGTGGTTGGTGACAGTGATGCCTGCAACACAGGGAGGGCAGCATTAGGCCCATGCACCATTCCGGCTCGGCTGCACCCCCTCCCCGCCCCTCAACCCTGACTGTCCTCACCATAGGCTGCCGGGTTACCCTTGCTCTTGGGCAGGTTTGCACGCAGGATGGCATTGTTGAGGCTGTTGAGGTAGGTGGGCATGCTATGGTAGCCCTTGTTATTGTAGAGCACCTGGAGAAGGACGAGGGACTCAGAGAGGCTCACAAGACTGCGAGAGTCTCTGAGCACAGGGCCAGGTGCCACGGACCCCGGGGCAGCGCTTTACCTGGGCCACCCTTCGTACTGCGATCTTCCGCACCATAGGCGGGGCCCGGGCACCGAAGGAGGCTGGGATGGACTTCTGAACATTACCAAAGGTGATGGCTCCATATCTGTACAGGACATTGGGAGGGACAATGAGGCCAGGCAGCCATCACCAGCCACCCCTTGTTCACGGCCACTACAGGCCAACTCACCGGTGTAGCCGGAAACGGTCAGATGTGAAGAGCAGGTACTCAGAGACATTGTGGCCGGTGATGTCGGTCAGGATGTCACCTGTGACCACCCTCATCTGGGGCGGATGCCCACCCACACTGCTGGGGCAAGAGAAGCCTGTGCCCTGTGCAGAGCAGGTACAGCGGACAGGTTCGCGCACTAGGCGTGGCAGAGACGGTGCCGACGTCCATGTCTCTGTGGGCACAGCGCAGCGCAGTGAGATGGGTTACTCGTGGCCGTGCCCCCAGTACCTTCCACGAGGCAGTACCTGGTCCAGTCGTAGGTGGCAGGGAGGCGTTCCAGGCTTGCAGCGAGTCCTCATCCGGGGACACCGGTGAGTCAGAAGGGGCAGGTGAGGGTGGGGGCGGCACGAAGTTGGACAGCGGCAGTCCCTGTGTGAAGGACTCCAGGCACATGCTGTCGAAGAACCGTGCGGCCAGCAGGCGGGACTCTCCGCTGCTAAGGTTCAGCACGGGCCCCAGGGAGCCGTTGGCGGGAGACTTGAGCACACACGTGGCACCCACGCCAGAGGGCAGCCGGAACGTGCTCACCAACTGCTGGGGGCTGGCATCAGGTGACAGCCGCAATCTGAGGGCACGGCAGTGAGTTAGGGGACTTAAGTCTCAACGCTTGTGTCGTGTGTGTGTGTGTGTGTGTGTGTGTGTGTGTGTGTGTGTGTGTCCCCGCGCTACAGCCCCAGCCCACGGCCTCACCGGTACTCCCGGCGTTCCTCATTAGCATAGGGGATGAAGTTGCCGCGGGGCTGGGTATAGTTGTGGTACTGAGACGGTGACAGGACCAGGGGAGGCAGGTCACCTGGTGGGTAAGCATGAGACCTGAGCAGGCTCCGACTACCTGATGCAGCCCCCAGAATTTTATTTCCTTTTCCCAGTAGAGACAGGGCCCAGCTTTGGGGGTATGACTCCCTGGGAGGCAGAACCCTCTCGTGAGCCCCTGAATAAGGTTCAGAGGATGGGGAGAGGGATGGAGAAGGGTTCTTCAGGAGGCTGGGAAGGAAGTGAAGCCAGGAACCCAAGGGCCAGATGGTAGCCTTGCCCCAACCACTTGAGGCCAGGTAGCCATACCTATCTCAGGAACAGACAACGCCACGGTCATGGCCACACAGACAAAGAAGGCAGGCAGCAGGATCTGAGAGCAAAGAGCTTTGGAGTTTCGACGAGCACAGTGGAAACGCTTCACCAGGAGCCCGTGGAACTGCCGCATCTTCAGCCACCAGCCCTCCAGCTTGCGGCTGCCCTGGCCGACCCGAGCCAGGGCCTCCATTTCTGCCTCTGTGCAGAGGGGCAGGGGTGAGCAGCCAGGACCACGCCACCCTCCGGGACCCTCCCCGGCCTCCCCAGCAGCTCCCTTCCACCTTGTAAGCTGACATTGTCTGGGTCCGGCAAGTTGTCAAAGAGGGGACGGTAGTCACCGTAGACATCGGCGTAGCCAGTGCCCTCGTCACCGCGGGTAGAGCCCACAGAGGATGCAGACAGCAGTGATGCCTGTGACTGGGCCAGTTCTGAGCACCGAGCCAGGTTGCCAGCTTGACCCTCCACAGACGTCAGGCCGTCTGCCCCAGGCAGCACATCCTTCCGGGACTCCTTTACATCTGCAAAGAACAGAGGCAGGCAGGGAGGGAGGGCTTGGAGCCACGGTACCCCAGGACAACCTAGCACCTCAGTCCCTGTTGCTCACCCACGACCCCAGGCCCTGGATCCCAGCTTTCGGTTAATATCTCTACTCAGGACCTGCGGCTACCATATCATCCACCAGGAGCCTATACTGATCCTGGGGAATCCCACTTCCAGAGACAGAGCAATGTCCCCAGGGGCCCTCTGTGGGTTGATCAGGCTGATCACCAGCTTGGGTACTATTACCAGCTTCGCTGTTCTCCAGTGACTGGTCCTCCTCAGACACCTTGAGGAACACCTCCTCCAGGGTTGTGTCCATCAGCCCAAAACTGCTCAGATGCAATGCATCCAGGCTATGCTCCAATTGCTGTAAAGAAGCTGGGTGAGGCCAGTGCCACGGAATGCAGGCAGGGGTGTTGCTCATCTTTTCTAGGGGCACATCATGTCCCCAGCCACCATGCTCAGCCCTCACACCTGGAAGAGGCGCTCGAAGGCCCCCTTCTTGACGGCCTCACTGGGCAGGATGTAGGAGAGCTCAGTGCTGGTGTTGGAGACCAGCAGGGATGAGGCCACGTGCTTGCGGATGAACTGGGACACCTGGGGCTCCGAGCAGCTGCTCAGCTGAGCACGACCTGGGGGGCTGGAGACCAGCCCTGGCTCTGGGGAGGAAGAGGCGTAGAAGGTGATTCACTGGGGGTGGGGGCTGAGGAAGGAGGAGCCTCGGGAACCTAGCCGGCAAGTCAAGACGGGGCTTAGAGGTGTCCAAGTGCACTGGGTATCTGGTCCTGATGCAGTGAGGATAAGGATGCACCTCTCCTAGATAGGGAGTCGTGGGGCAGGGAGGACCAGGGGGCCGGTTCAAGTAGTCTCGGTACAGACCTTGGGAGGTGCCAGGCTCTGCAGGCCGCTTGACCAACGTGAGGCGGTACCCATCACCATAGGCACCCTTGAGAAAGAGGGGGGAGCCGCAGCACTTGAGCTTCCCGTGGGAGATGATGGCAATCCGATCCCCCAGCAGGTCGGCCTCATCCATGTGGTGGGTGGAGAGGAGGATAGTGCGGCCTGGGGTAGGTCCAGATCCACGGTAAGGGGGACGTCCAGGGGCAGGTAAAGAGACCCACACAGACTACGGCCAGCCTGGCATCCTCTCACCTGGCTTGTACTTCAGAATGAGGTCCCAGATGGCGCGGCGTGCATAGGGGTCCACGCCAGCCGTGGGCTCATCCAAGATAATGGCTCTAGAGCCACCCACAAAGGCAATGGCCACTGAGAGCTTGCGCTTCATGCCCCCAGACAGTGTCTGCACCAGCGAGTGCCGCTTATTGGAAAGCTCCAGGTCCTCAATCATCCTGCGGATCCAACAGGAGCACGATGGATGGGAGGGTGATGAATGGGGAGGTGATGGACAGATGGGAGGGTGATGGACAGATGGGAGGGTGATGGACAGGAGGGTGATGGATTTATGGGAGGGGATGGAGAGGAGGGTGATGGATTTATGGAAGGGTGACGGATGGACGGGAGGGTGACGGATTTATGGGAGGGGATGGAGAGGAGGGTGATGGATTTATGGAAGGGTGACGGATGGATGGGAGGGTGACGGATTTATGGGAGGGGATGGACAGGAGGGTAACAGATTTACGGGAGGGGATGGACAGGAGAATGAGGAACAGGAGCAGAATGACCAGCAGAGAGGAGGGCAATGGATGGGAGGGTGACAGACCAGAGGATGGTAGGCAGGAACATGAAGAGCTGTTATCCCACCTCATCCCCACCCCCTTCCCTGACTTGTGCATCCGAGCGTCCACAGCACCTGCCTCTGCTCACGCCCCCTCCCCCATCCCGTTCACACCATGCCGCCCGCCCCCTCACGGCACCCACTTGTCCGTCTCTTTGCGGATCTCCTCTTGTGCCATGCTCTTGAGCCGTGAGTAGAACCAGAGGTGCTCCTCCACAGTGAGCCGGTCAAAGAGCACATTGTGCTGTGGGCACATGCCCAGGTTCTTGCGGATCTCGTCCATCTCTGTGCGGATGTCGTGCCCATAGATAGTGGCAGAGCCCGACGTGGGTGGGAACAGTCCGGTCAGGATAGACCTGGAGTGGGGGCAAGTGGGGTCACAACCCACCACACCCTGAGGGAACCCTATCTTCCAGTTAGCTAAGCTCTCCTGTCCCTAGACACTCACATGGTAGTGGTCTTGCCAGCCCCATTATGGCCTAGGAAAGAGACCACCTGGTTCTCATAGAGATTGAGGCTCAGTTTGTTCAAGGCCAGCTTCTTGTCATTCTTATAGACCTTGGTGAGCTTGTCCACACAGACGACCAAGGGCAGGTGGGTGGGTTCCTCCTCCATACCGCGTGTCTCCTCTGTACCAAGGCTGGGTCAGCAGGACGGGGGGCAGCACTAAGGCCACCCCAGGCCCCCCAAAACCAGCGCCCACCCCATTCAACATCTGACCCTGGCCTCACCGAAGTGGCGGCTCTCCATGGCACAGGCCTGGTCTTCCTCCATAACGCTGAGGCGTGGTGTGTGTGCCCATGGCCAGCTCCACTCCCAGGCCTCTGTCCGCCCACTGCCCAGCCAATAGGACTTCTGCAGTGGGAAGTACCAGGGCCGGGGCAGCCCATACATGCCTGGGGGTCCGGGAGGGGAGAGGCTGACGAGGGCCTGGAGGTGACAATCCACCACAAGGGCCAAACGCCACCAAGAGAAAGGTGGAATCCCAGCGACCTTGTCCCACCCCTGGTCCCTCCATTGATGGGCTTGTACCTGGGTGTACTGCCTCAATGTACCAAGTGAGCACGCCATAGACCACTGTGTCCACCATAAGCATGGTGACAGCAAGGAGCAGGTTGAAGTCGTCTCCCTCCACGGGGGACTGGCTGAATGTGTGCCACTGGATACCCACGCCTGCCACCTCATACAGTGCGAAGTACTTGGAGCCCAGGCCAAAGGCTGTTGTGGACATCAGGGACTGAAGAAAGAGGGGTATCAGTGGGTGGGCAGGGTTTGGACACCCCGCCCTGGCCCTGCCTGGCCACGACCCTCACCGCAATGCACTTCTCGAAGGCAGTGATCTTATCATGGGCCACCTCCTCACGGATTGCCACATACATGTAGGGAACGTAGCTCAAGAAGTAGATGATGCCACCACAGGCTGAGGCCAACTTAGCCTTCGAGTACAGCACAGACACCAGGAAGCTGGAGTAGGAGAGGCCACAGGGCTGTCAGCCCCGTGACGCTTGGCTCTTGGCCACCTGGGCCGCCCCTACTGGGCCCAGAGGAGCTCCAAGAGAAGAGCCTGCCTGTCCTAGGGGGTTTCCCGGCTCCCTGCAGTACTCACCAGAACATGATGGTGGCCACAGCATAGACAGCAAGGAAGAGCCAGATAATGAGCACGTGGCTGTGCATGAGCACCTGGCCGTACTTGAGGATGGCGGTCAAAGCTGTCACTGAGATGGACAGCTGCACAAAGCCTGTGATGAACCAGGCCACCCAGTGCACAGCGTTGTTCAGGCCCATCGTCTTCATTACCTGTGGTGTGGGGCAGCAGACGACGTCCCTTGGGGGCAGGGACCAGAGAAGAGAGGACCGTACTGCCCGCCCCACGGCCTGCCGGAAGGGGGGTGCCGGCAGACCCCCAGACCCACCTCCTTGAGCCGATGCTCTTTCTCCGCCACGATATGCTGAATAGTCATGGCCACAGAGTAGACCCAAGAGATCACCATGCACAGTGGCATCATGTGCTCGATGACAAACAGGAAGCTGAAGGGAAACACGTGTTAGCAGGGTCTTGGACCCGAGACCCCCCAAACCTCTGCAGGCTGGCACTCACTCATCACGGGTGTAGCAGGGGTACGGGAACATCTGCACATAGTTGCCAGGCTCCACCACGTCGTGCCCCACAAATGTGTTGATGATGGCACGCTCCATCATGTCTGGGGGTAGAAGTTGTATCAGGGCAAGGCCGGGCCCCCTCACATCCCACCTGGGCTCAGCCCCTCACCCTGGATCCAGACGAAGCCATAGAGGAAGTAGAAGCGGCCACCCGTGTTGGGCCCTGGGCGCCAATAAGCACGTCGAATCTCATTGGTTTTCTCAGTGAAGCTCGAGTTCTGGCGAATCTTGTAATGTACGTGTGGAGGGAGGGAGCCATCCTTCCGTGTCTGGAAGATCACACCTGCGGACAGGAAGCTGGTAGAGTGTGTGGCCAGAGGGCATGGAGGCGGGACATACTGTGAAGGGAGCACTCCAGCAGTGATAACAGGACAGATGAGGTGTCTTAGAAAGAGGTGGAGCAGGGCTGAGGAGTAACAGGGGGATGTGGCAGAGGCAGCATGTGGAGTGTGGGACCAAAGTGAGGCAGGCGAGGGAGAGATGTGGGAAGACGTGGAACTGGTGGAGAGGTCCGGGCTAAGGGGCAGGAAGGTAACGGGGGGCATGGTAGGGGTAGGGCAGGCCTGAGCTGGTGAGGAAGCAGGTCTGTAGGAGACACAGGACCTTTGTAGGAGGGGGAGGAACTCACTGGCAAACACTGTGACGTTATCCTGGTAGGCCTGGTTGAGTGTGTAATTGACAATGCTCTCCTCATCAGGAAAACCCTTGAAGATGTCTACACTCACCTGGAAAAGGGGCCATCATTGGAGCTGGCCCTCAAACTGCATGAGGGAAGAGGGGTCCCCGTGCTCACCCACCCCACCTTGGACATGAACTGGATCCAGCCACAGGCTGCATTGTCAATTGTGTCGAGCTGCTGCAGGAGGGCTGTGCCATTGGGCAGTGAGAAGCTGTCCTGGCGCAGGGCAGGCGGCAGCTCCTCCAGGGACAGGTTCATCGCTTCAGGGTGCAGGCGCAGGTCAGCCACGTACTGGAGTGGAGAGCGGCGTTCAGGGCACGGCTCGTACCTTTCGGCTCTGAGCAGAAGAGCCCACCACAGGTGCCCACCCACCTTGTACCCACAGCACCTGCTGCAGCCAGTGGAGATGCTGCTGCAGCCTGCCTTGCTCCAGGAAGCTTCGGATCTCCGAAGAGATGTTAAGCCAGACCTGGGCGTAGTGCGTCACATTGCCCACAAAGGCAAAGGTCTCATTGGCCTGCAGAGAATGAAAGCTTGAGGCACGGGGCTCTGGGAAGGATCCAAGCCAGCCTGAGAGTCCTCTACCCTCTCACACGCCCAAGGAACCAGCCCAACTAGTACCCCTACTCAGGCCCAACTTCTACCTGGAGGTTTCTGCCTCGTCTCTCTACAGAAGCCACATGAAATTCATTTTGCCATGACCCTCAGCAACAAGGCCTCCTTGAATCCCACCTCAGCAGCCTTGCATGCTTTTCTGGCTCCTTCCTTCCACCTGCCCCTTGAGCGCTTAAGTCTGATCCTCATTTCTCCCCCCAAAAAAACAACCTTCCAAGGTCAAGGCCTTGCCATGCCCATTTCCACTCCTGGCTTACACTCTTCCAACAAACTCTCTTCCCAGACTTCAATGTTCCTTGCACCCTGCTCATTTGATGCTACTGGTGTGTGGGGGCATCTCTGAACATACCACCCTGTCCCAATCAACATGGTGAGGGGTGGGGGCACTGTAGCCAGACCAGCTAGCCTTTCCAATGCATCCCTGCAGAAACTACCAGGAGTTCTCAACAGAAAAGCTGCCGAGGGCCACTCACCTCCAGCCCTGAAACTCCCTGTGCCAGGCACACCACTACCCGGGTTTCATGAAGTCAACTAGAGCTCTTACTGGTCCTACATAGAGCCCTGGGCCAACAGAGCCCTCACTCAGGCTCTTGCTAGGCTTGTATTCCTGCCGGGGAGACATGACCCAAATGTGCCAGACCCACACACCTTGAGGATAACACGGTCAGCTTCAGAACCTGCTGGTGCATACAGGATTTTGGGGTTGCTGGTCATGAGGTGCACAAGGAGGCCCAGGTTCCGTTGTTCTTTGCTTGTGAAGCCCAGGGAGCTCATGTTGCCCCTCCGAAGCGCCTCAGGCTCAATGGTGCTGGCAGAGACAAAGCACCAGGAACAGGGCAGAGATGTCAGGACTAGTGGGATGGGACACTTGGGATGGCTCAACAGAAGCCGAGGGACAGGCTAAGGTGGGATGTCAGGTTAGGCATGGGGTGGGCTTAAATGTAGAGGCAGATAGCAAATGGGACTTCCAGAATGGGGTCTATGCACAGGGCCAGGCAATGGGATCAACTCCCTACTTCCCCATGACTCTCCCGTTCCCTCCATCCCTTGGTTGCTGACCTACCGGTTGTTGCCACACAAGATGGGCTGCAAGCCAGCCCAGAGCTGCACAAAGGCTGAGCACTGGCCTTGCAGAGTGTCAGGAGAGGCTGGAGTCGCAGGTGACTGGGTTCCCTCCTCCACGGTGGTGTTGGAACCCGTGCTCGCCCCTGGTCCAGTGCTGTTGGCCACTCCACTCAGGCTGCTAGCTTGAGATGCAGGGGCCCGGCCAGCACAGGCGCCTTGGGGCAGCAGCAGGGCAAGAGCTGAGAGGACATCCACATCCTGCAGAACTTTCTGGGCATCCAGCAGGTCCCCTAAGAGTGCCTGCAGGCTCCGTGGGGACGGTGCCTGCTGCTGGGGGTCTGAGCCGTTGGGGACATCCAAGCCCAGCTGAGGGGAAGACCAGGCATATGGAAAATGCAGGCTGGGAGGCAGGGTGAACTTGGTTGGAGGTGACTCAGGGAGGTGGCTAAGTTCAGGAATGGAACAAGAAGGGTGTCAGCAGAGGGCAGTGCTTGGGAAAATGAGGGAGGTTCCGCAGTTTAGGAAGCCCTGGCCAGGGCTAGAGCTATAGCTTGGGGTGAGAGATAGGAAGGAACCGAGGCCTGGAACTGGGTAAGGGGTATTGCTCAATTCCAACCATACCATGCAAGGCCAGGGCGCAGGAGCCTCCCACATTCAGGCTCCACGTAGCCCTAGCGCCTCTTCCAGGCTGGTCAGCATTGCTGGCCAACTGACGGGCAGGACCTCACCTGCTGGGCAATCTTGGCCATGTCCAGCTGGTTCCGGAGCTCAGTGGCCAGATCACTGAAGCGTTGGGCACGAGCTGCAGCCTGCCCACTGCAGACGGCATCCCGGTAGCCCTGCAGGTCTACCTGATGACCCTCAGGCATGGTAAGAATCCGGCCCAGCTCCCCAGAGCCTGGCGCACACGTGAGCTGCTCCAGGAGGGCAGGAGCCAGCAGCAGCTCCTGGGGGCAAGGAACAGGGTGACGGGTAAAGCCTGCACTCCCACCAAGAAACGGCCAACGGCCTACTTAAGGTAGCACAAGATTTTGCCCTGACCGTCCACTGTGTTGGCTCTGTGCCAGAGTTCCACAGTGCTGTGGGAGCATTCAAATCACCATCCTGCCTCCCTCTACTTCCCCACGCCCACCGCAGATCCCCATAATTTATGCGTAACTAAGGGAGAGCCTTTTCTTCCACCCATTTCCCTGGGATAGACCTCTTACCTCCATTCGTAACAGAGGATTGCTACCCAGGCGGCTCCATGGCTCCTGCTTCCCGAGGAAACCCAACTTCCCATCCAGGGCAGGCAAAGGACCCAAAAGCAAGTGATAGACCTGCATTGTGAGGGGTTCTGGCTCAGTAGGAGCTCCAGAGTCCTGAGAGGAGCCCAGATACACTTGCGGCCCCTCCCTCATGGCTGTAACCAGGGGCGATGGGGAGAGCAGAGGGGCGTGGCCACTACCAAGATATGCCCCCCCCCTCACCTCAGAAGGGTCCACACGGGCAGCCAGGAGGGCCTGGGCTGTGCTGTTGGGCAGTGACAGGTTCTGCATCAGGAAACGCCAAAGCTCCCTCTGGTCCCTGGCCACCGAGTCCAGAGAGAAGGAAGAAACTGGACAGGCAGGAGGATGGGACTGAGGGGCCGGCTCTAACTGGGGCTCAGGTGTCCCAGATAGGCTCTGAGCAGAGCTACCAGCACCGCACTGGGCCTGCCTCAAGCACACAGGTAAGGGACAATGTGATGCGGACACAAGGACCCCGGGCCAGAGGCAGGCTGTGACCCAGAGTGATGAAACAAGCAGGCTTCCAGTGACAGCGGTGCTTAGGCCCTCCCCCAAGCCGTCCCCACACAGGGCACACCTGCAGGTCTGGCTGAGTGGCTTTCCCAGGTGCCAGGGCCTGAGCTGAGCGCCTCCAGATGTTGACGCAGGGCCTCAAGCTCTGAGCCCAGGCTGGGTCGCGCCGGGTCAAACAAGTTGCCCTCCTCCACGACTCGGTTGAGGCGTTCTAGAAGCTGGGTGACCCTGTAACACCACAAGACATCAGCCGTTTGCCACGGTGTAGGGGTAGGGGTGGCTGGCTGCCCAGGCACGGGGTGGGGGCACTTACGTGGAGTTGGCATACTGCAGGAAGCCAAACTCATCCCGCTGGCCATCGGGGCAAAGCGACTGCATGACGGGCAGGATGCCGGCAGACGTCAGGGGGGCCGCGGTGTAGAAAGCTGGTGGAAGCAGGATGGGGGAGATGGGGACCAAGAGAGATGTTTGAAGACGGTCGGTCGGGAAGAAGCAGCTTCAGGCAGACTAGGCTGGGGGCACAGAGCACCTGACCCCCAGTTGAGCTAAGGCAAATGACTCTGGAGGTCAGAGGTCAGAGGGCCACCTGCCATCCCTTCCCCTGTAACTCCCAGCACATCACTCCTTAGCTTGTGCAGTACCCAAATGCCCCAACAATCCCCCCCCCCCGCCTTCCCACAGAGACCAGGGTAGCACATGAGGCACCCCTTGGCAGTGACCTCTGACCTCTCAGGCCAACTGGTTAGCAGAGTGAGTGCAAGAGCCCAAAGGAGTCTGAAGGAAAGTTGCAGGCCATCCCAGCCTCATCTCAGGCTAGCCCAGGCTCAACCCAGGAACCCCACCCTTAGAAAGCATGGCCAGGCGACCCCACGGATACACTGTCAAGCAGATACTCCAATGGCTTGACCAGGGTACCAGTTATGGCCCAGGTGGCCTGGCCTTTCACTACCCACCACCACCCACATCACAACCCACCACTACCCACATGACAGCCCACCACCCTGAGTGATAAGCCAGCCTTTCCTGCTCACGGGCAGGGGCTTCTGCAGGACCCAGCTGCTGGGAGGCTGTTAATGCAAGCAGTAGGGGTGCTTAAGCCGCACCAGGGGGACCTGCCAGGACATCCATGGCTGCCACCTGAGCCAGCAAGGAGGAGGTGGCTGCTCACTTACAGACTGCATGCAGGCCGGGCCGAGGAGGACAAGAGACCATGCAGGGTGGGGGGGCAGGTCAAAACAGAACAGAGGAAACCAGTGAATGCCTGAACCCTCCAGAAACAGGCACCGTCGTCATTCACGGCCACAGTGGCCAGCCCTGGCCTCCACGGCCTAACCAACACATGTGGCCAGGACCACATGGGGAGCAGGCACTTGGGTCATGGCCTCAGGGAGCCTTGGGAATGGGGACACACTGGGGCTGACGTGTGCACATAGGACTCTTATCCCTCCCTGCCCACCCGCGTGCCCAGGCTACGCCTGCACCTCACCTTCCTTCACGGAGATGGTGGGCTTCTTCTGTCGCAGCCCCAGCAGGATGAAGAAGAGGACAAGGGGGATGAAGATCTCAAAAGCCAGGACCCACTGGAAAGGGTGGACCACATGAGGCAGTCTGCCCACCCACTGCCTGTCCAGGGCTGGACACGATGAACATGTGCTGGCCTAGGCTCTCCTGGCCTCCTCGAAGGACCAGCCCAGCCATGCGCACCCAGCGGCCATGAAGGTCAACACAGGTTTCTCAGGTCCAGCCAAGGTTCTAGTCCCTTCCAGTACACCAAGATGCTGAACACTGTGTGGTACCACCACATCGATTCCCTTGTCCTCCAGCTTAGACTGTGCCTGTCAAACCATGGACCTCCTACCCTCTGAAGAGGTCCAAGGCCACCAGGAACAAATCGGCCAGTTTGTGGTCAGCTCTCACCCATTCCTTCACCCAGCTCCTCTTCTCCCCGGCGACCTGTTGAGCCACCGGGGTGGGAGCTTGGAGGACTCTTGGCCAGATGTGGTCTCTGACTGCGCTGAGGCCCTGCCTGCACGTCTCCTCTCCTCCTCTCCTGCAGCACCCTTATAACTTTGTGTTGGAATCAGAGAGGTGAGGCCTAGTGTGAGTAAGGCCCAGACTGTGACCAGGGCCCTGAGCCTCTAGCAAACACGGTCCCTGAGGCAAAAGCCTCTTTTCCTGCTCTAACCTCTCAGGGCCAGGAGCCTACCTTGGCTGCAAGGTAGGCCAGAAGCGCCAAAACCCTGGGGCCCAGGCTCACCTCCCAGTGCCTCCTGGAAAACAAAGGGCTTCCTCAATTCCTACCCCCACCTCAGCTCAGGGAGGATGTCAGGAAGCTCCCGCTTTTGAGACCATAGGAACGAGAGGCCCCCACCACCACCACCAGAGGCAGCCCTCCTCCATGGCTCTGTAATATCAGGTCTCCTTCACCCTCCTCACCATCTGAGGCAGACTCTGAAGCTCCCCCCCCCCCCGCCCCGCTGCCACCCAGGAGTGGTGTGGGGCCATGCCCAGCCTGTCCCTGGCTGTGCCTACTGTGCTCTGACAATAGCTCTCTGTGATCCACAACACCCCGCTGTGTGTCCACACCCCACACCCGCCTCAGCCTGTGCCAGCCTCCACCTCCTCTCCAGCCAGGATCGAGTCCAGGGCCAGCTGAGGAAATGATATGGGCACCCAGGGCCGCAGGACGAATGTGTTTCACACATACAGAGTGGTTGGTGACAGGGGCCACAGTTCAAGAGACAGCCCTACCCACGCCAGGCCCTACCCTGGGCACCTCCGCCCTGCCCTGGGCACCTCCGCCAGAGTAACTGCAGCACAGGCCAGGCCGGCTCTTCCATCACTATAGCAACGGCTGCGCATGAGCTGCTGGGAGGGAGAGTCCTGGCTGGCAGGTGGCAGGCACCACAGGGGCATCTGGTTACAGGCAGGCGGCACAAGTCCAGCAATACCTAGGTGTTCTACCTGGGTGACAGCAAGTGACCTAAGGACTCTGTCCCTCAAGACAAGTCCAGCGCTCACACACCGCCCCCGTCTCCATGCCAACCCTGGGCCTGAGCCGCCCTCCATGAAGCCTAGTGCTTGCTGTGGTGCGGGAGTGAGGAGAGCAGGTGACACCCTAGTGTGACGTTGGGGCCTTCCACCACAACTTCTCAACGCTGGTGGGCCTCCTACGGCCCTGGGGTAGACCCGTGTCCTTTGCACAACTCAACAGCGGGGCAACTGAGGGACAGTGCTTGGGAGACGAGACCAAGAAGGGCGGAGGTCCTGGAGTCCCCCTCCAGACCATAAGCTTTGCCCAGGTGCAGCCCTGACCGCTGCAAAGACCGTCATCCTGGAGGAAGAAAAGCCACCACTGGTACCTCACTGCAGCCACAGGCTAAGGATCTCCACTGCGGTCTAACTGGTCTCTGGGAATGGGAACCCGGGAAGGTCCTACCGACCAACCCAGCCTAGCAGGCACCGGTTGGCCCTACGAAAGAGGCAGTGAGCATCTCCACCTGACTGTCCAATCACTGGACTCTTCTTCAAGCCTGGTGTGAGGCTCCCATCAGATGCAGGAACTATGTTTTAGCCTCTGCTCCTGGGACTAGCACTAAGGCATGCCTACATCTTCACTCCATGTCCCTTCCTCTGGTGACTCAAAGGCTAGAGTAACTGGCCTGCTCCTTCAGACCCCACACCAGCCAGCCCTAGACAACCAGGACAGGGAACGTACTCAGTCCTGGCATCAGCCAGGGCCAGGTGCCCACAGGAATCCTGCCAGGCCATGGTGATGACTGCTACCCATTCTGCCTATAGCCCAGAGTTATGCACCTGAAGTACTCAAAGAGGAATATAGGAGGAGTATTGTTACCCAAGGGGTCCCTGAGTATGAGCTGGTTAAAGTCTTTAGGCCCCTACACTCTCTGGTCTCCACCCTGCAAAATCCCAAGAGCCTCTCGATACTCTTGCTGGCCCAGGACTCTCGGGGTGCCCTTGCCCTTCCAGGGACTGGAATAAAAACCAACAAGGCCAATGGCTTCCTGCTCCTCACCCAAGACTCCTACCTCAACACTCTTCCGTTCTGGCTGCCCTAGACAGGTACTGAGAAGCCGAGCTCTGCTCAGCAGGCCCCAGCCCCCAGAGAGGCCCGAGGCAGGAGAAATCAGAGGAGCTGCCTCCGGGGAAACTGGCCCTAAAGGACAAACGGGTGGGTTGAGCTAGCACAACAAGGGCATTCCCAGGGATGAGAAAGCAGGAGTGAGGGTTTGTGGACATGCCAGGATGGGTTAGGAAAGGAGAAGGGAGGAGGAGAAGATGATGGAGGAAGGAGGAGAAGGGGGAGGAGGAGGAGGAGGAGGAGGAGGAGGAGGAGGAGGAAGAGGAAGAGGGCGGCGGCGAGGGCTGCTTGGTACCATCCTCAGCCTAAGGTGCCTGCCCAAGGGCAGAGACGCCGTAAACAGAAGGAAGAGACAGGTCTCTATGGGGGCCCCAGAGGCGGCGGGCCCAGGGCTCGGCGCCCCGAAGCTGAAAGCTGTGCCCCAGCCAGCGCTCTGTCCCTGGAACCTGGGCCTCGCCGGAGCTGAAGTCCCGGGACCACCTGCCCCCACCCCAGCCTGCCAGAGTGCGCTGCGAAGGGCGCCGGCCCGTGACTCAGCCGAGCGAGCGTTGCGAGTGTCAGCGGACGAGGGCACAAGCCGATCCCGCTGCCGGGGGCCGGGAAGCCCGCGGAAGCAGCGGGCCGGGGACAGGGTCCCCGGTGGCGCCCTCCCCGGGGTCTGCGCGCGCCTGGCACTGCACGTGCACGCCGGGAGCGCACCGGCACATCGGGCGCGCGGCCTGCGGGGGGGGCCCCCCGGAGGACGGGCGCGGGTCGCTCACCGGGCTCCGGCGCTTCAGCGTCACATTCTTCCAGAGCAGCAGCTGCAGCTGGTGCAGGAAGCCCATGGCCGGGCCGCGCTCCGCCGCCTCAGCGCCGCGGCCCGCTCCTCTGCACGCCCCGCCGGGCCCCGCTGCCCGCCGCGCCGCTCGGCATCGCCCGCGCGGGGGCGGGGCGCTCGAGAGTCCAGGACCTGCTCCTCGCAGGCTCCGCCCCGGCGGCCGCAGCTACCGCGACTCGCTCTCGCGTCCGCGCCCGCCGCCCCCGCTTCAAGGCGGCTCGGCGCTCGGGTGTCCACCAGGGGGCGCCCGGGCCCGCCGAGCCCAGGCACCCGCTGCACCTGCGCGTAGCGCTAGGCCTCGCTGCTCGACCGGCCCACCCAGCGGTAATGCAATGTTCCCAAGGTCCGCACCTGAACTAGGATCTAGGTGCGCACCTTTCCGAGGCCTGGGGAGAACTTGGGCACCCTGTACTTCTCCCAAGGGACTCCAAATATGCGCCCCCAATTGGGAGATTTGTGCAGAGGAGTACCCACGGTGTTCCACTGTCCCTCTAGGAACTCTGAAGGAGGCTTGGTCCCCATCAGGTCACCACTAGGTTGGCCCTCCTCCCACGTACAAATGGGGAAGCAGGATCAGTCACTCATTTAGAAGAGGGACATTGCTCCATTAGCAGAATCCCATCTGTGTAGGGTGGGCAATGACCTCAAGGCTCCAAGATGCAGCCCAACAGCAAAACTTGACGTAGATTTTGTTTGTTTGTTTGTTTGTTTTCCGAGACAGGGTTTCTTTGTGTAGCTTTGCACCTTTCCTGGAACTCACTTGGTAGCCCAGGCTGGCCTCGAACTCACAGAGATCCATCTGGCTCTGCCTCCTGAGTGCTGGGACTAAAGGCATGCGCCACCACCGCCCGGCAACTTAGATATTTTAAAAAGGAGCCTAGAGCACTGGGTGGTGGTGGCACAGGACTTTAATCCCAGAAGCAGAGGCAGGTGGATCTCTGTGAGTTCCAGGACAGCCTGGTCTACAGAGTGAGCTCCAGGACATCCAGGGCTACACAGAGAAACCCTGTCTCAAGAAACAAAAACAAACAAATCAAAAGCAGATGATCCCTGATAAGAGGGTGAGAGGGACTGCCCTGCTAGTCTACCCTCGTAAAAGCTCTCTTTGTCCCTTATAGACAAGGCACTTGCTGATGAAGTGACCTTTGCCTAGAAGGGCAATAGCAAAGCCTGGAAGTGCTCACCTTTAATCCCAGCTCTTGGAAGGCAGAGACAGGCAGATTTCTGTGAGTTCAAGTTCAGCCTGGTCTACATAGGGAGTTCCAGGCCAGTCAGAGCTGTATAAAGAGACCTAGTCTTAGTAAAATAAATAATATAGAGTCACCACACACATGTAATCCCTACCATGTAAAAGGCAGAAGCAGGAGAATCAGGAATTCAAGGTTATCCTTGGCTATATAGTGAATTCAGGGCTAGCCTGAGCTACATGAGACCCTGTCTAAAACACAAACAAACCAACAGGAAAATGTTGGGCACCTTCAACGGTTAGGAGAGACACCGTGGAAGTGAAGATCGAATGTTGCTTTACGGAGCCTGGGAGTAACACACACATAGACACAGCATGCAGGTGGGGACAGCTATGGACCAAGCTTTTGGGGGGCCCGGGGTGTCCTCCAAACAGGTTTCTCACAGAGTTTTAGTTGCGTTTAGAACAAGCAAGCTGAAGTTGCATGGGGCTCTGAGAGGTGGTCACACAGCCTCTCGGTGCTTTGCACGGGGGTGAGACGCTCAGCAAACTGTGTTTAGCAAGGAGTGCTTACCAGACACAAATAGATGTGCCACGTGAAGGGTTGGGAAACTGCTAAGGGTGAGAGTGCCCTAATTCTGGCCTAAGAAAGTTAGGTTTATATTCAAAATGGTGCTGAGGCAGCACACGTGGGAAGCGTTTACGATGGTCATCCGTTGCGGCTGCCAGGTCAGGCCTCCCTGCCCTTCCCAGACTGCAGCTCAGAACAGTGAGGAGGCACAGAGGGACCTCAAGAGTTTCTCCTGGCTGGCAGGGGTGATTGGGAAGACAGGCTGTCTATTCTGCATGTGGTTTACTCGTTACCTCCACCCCCCATATCCATGTCAGCCTCGCTTCTTTTGGCCCACGGAGCCTGGTGTTTGAGCGTGGGCCTGTTGATAGTGTTGCGGGACCCATTTCTCCGTATGGCCAGCAGGGGGGAGCAGAGGGCCGCCAGCGCCAGCAAACGGGAGACGTCCTGAGGGTGACGTGTGATGGCTGTTTACCAGCTTGGGGTTCCCACCTGTGAAGTGGACGGTGACGACTGTGTGGCGACCGACCTGGGACACTCAGGTTGCTCTTAAAGTGAATGAAAACCTTCGAGGGCTAAAGCTTCCCACCACTTCTCGGCTCCTTCTTTGAGGAGAGGTCCCCCCAGGGCTGATGGGGAGGACCCAAAGCTCCACCCAGCCCCCGGCCCCAGGACACTTCCTTCTCTCCAGTTAGCCCAGGGGGCTGGGTCAGGGCAGGAAGCCATGGGCAGGTCTTTCCCACAAACCACGGAGGGAGGGGGGCTTCCTGCCTTCAGGGCCACCACACCTCCAAGGCACGGATAAACCCAAGTCCCGGCCCATCCCAGGAGTTCAACCTGTCAGATACTCACAGGTTCACCCCCACATCTCCTCCCAGCCCGAAAACAAGGGGCTCCTACGGTGGAGTCTTCACTGAATCCCCTCATGGATACCTCTACCAGTCACCGTAAATCAGACCCTGTCATACAGGACACTCCTCCAACCTGAGACCTGTGACAGGTGGCACCTCCAGCCCCAGCGAAGTTTGACCTCAATTCTCAGATCTGTACCCGCCATGGGCTTTGGAGACTTGGGTTTGGTGGGTGGGGTGTTAAAGATTCCTGATAAGGTGTCACTTAAGCAAGGCTGTCGGGCAGAAACTAGAAACCCAGTGGCTGACTGAGGGAATGAGCGGAGGAGGGCTGGCTGGTGGAGGGGGGCCGGCTGGTGGGGGGGGAGCTGGCTGGTGGAGGGGGGCTGGCTGGCGGAGGGGGGCCGGCTGGTGGGGGGGGGCTGGGGGCTGGCTGGTGGCGGGGGAGCTGGCTGGTGGAGGGGGGGGCTGGCTGGTGGAGGAGGGGGCTGGCTGGTGGAGGGGGGCCGGCTGGTGGCGGGGGGGGGGGGGGCTGGCGGAGGGGGGGGCTGGCTGGTGGCCTCTGCTGCCTCGAAGACCTCACCCAGGAGATTAGTGTCTTTATTAGTGGCACCTCTTTCCCTGAGGGACTGTGGCGCCAAAAGCCCAGAATCAGCCACGCTGCCCTTCCCCAGCCATGCTGCCCTTCCCCAGCCACACTGTCCATCCCCCACACCCCCACCCACCCAGCATATGGTCTGCACCCAGAGTTCTAGAATATGCACCTGGGTCCCTAAGGCTAGCACCTTGATTGTGGAGGGTCAGGGGCCTAAGGTTTTGTACCCACAAATCACAGCCTGGGATGTTCCCAGCTCCAGAAATACTGCCTCCTTGTTTCATCTGACCATTGAGCTGCAGGCATGTTCAAGGAAAGTTGGGGACCCCCAAGCGTCTTTCCTGGTTGATTAGCTTGTACGATATGCTCATTAATTCCCTCCATTCTGTTATCTCTTTCCTGGGATCCCTACTCTGAAGTCCACCAGCTTCATCATCCAGACGGCTTCTCCAGCCCACCCTGCTCTACTCATATCCCGCCTTCCTGTTCACCGACCCGAGCCTCAGGTTAGTCCCAGAGTGACCCAAGAGGCTGGATGCATAGGTCTTTGGTTTCAACATCGGCCTTCCACCCACACAGCCTCTCCCAGCAGCAGAAGTTCAAGCCTGGAACCAGCTTTCAAGGTCTTCATAGACCTGGCTGCGGGGCAAGTAAGGGTAGTGGGCACAGATGGTGCAGAAGCGTTCCCTCCAGTCACCCAGGAGCCGCACACGGAGCCGGTCTCGCCAAGCAAAGAAGCGCTGATAGCGACTCTCATTCATGCTGACAAGGAAGACAGCCAGCTCGCGGGCTGAGCTGAAGTCGTCCACATGTACAAAGGCATCTGGTGGCACAAAAGCCTCGTAGGTGGCCCGGGGAGGTCCCAGCACCACAGGCACAGCACCAGCTGCCAGCGCATTGCGCCAAAACTTCTCAGTGATGTAGTCTCGATGCTGCGAATTCTCAAAGGACAGGTAGAAGCGGTACTGGGCCACGGTGGGCAGCAGACAGTTAGCGCACAGGGGCCGTCCACTGGCACGTCCGAACACATCCACCCGCAGGTGAGGGGCCAGCTGCCGGTACAGCTTTGCACGCTGCTGCCGCTCCTGGAAATTGCTGACCACCCAGGCAGCCATCTTGCTTTTGGCCGGCAGTGGGGGTGTAGGCCCAGAGTAGGGCTCCAATCGACCATAGGGTACAAAGATATCTGAATCACGCCGATAGCTCAGCACCCAGTTGAAGATGCCTCGGAAGTGATGGAGACCACGGGTATTGCTGGGAGATTCCATGGAGGCCCAGACCCAAGGCTGTCCGTGCGGCCTCTGTTTCAGGGGCAGGCGAGACCGTAAGGTCTGCAGCTCACGGTGATGGAAAACAACAGCGTCTGCGCTGGCTAGCAGGCTCCGGTTAGCACTCAGGAGGCAGCTAGCCATGCCGTAGTGAGTGCAGGTATCATGGGGCAGCTCTGGGGGCCGGTCGGTGAAAGGCCAGTGCCAGATAAGGATGGTGACCATGGGCTGAGGCGCTGGGGCACCCCCGGGAGCTGATTCCAGCTGCCAAAGGAGCCAGAGGGCCACGAGTGTTGCACCTCCAGCCAGGCCCCCCCAGGCCCGCCGCCTCCGGGTCGGGTTGCACCCTGAAGCAGGATAAAAAAGGAGAGGCCCTGTCACCCTGAGGGATACCGGTAAATCCCCATCATCCCCCACCTGGGACGCCTCCAGGGCCAGGCACTCACCAGCACAATTCATCCACAGCTTCTGAAGTCAGTCACCCAAGGAAAGGAGGTTTCAAATCACAGCTGCCTCCCCAGTTGAGGCACCCTGAAATCACAGCTGCATCTCAACTCAGGCTCTGATGCTTTCCTTTCATCTACCCAAGGTGAGGGAAGCCAGGGGCCTTCCCACTTCTGCCCCGCCCTACCCCTTCAGTTTTTGGCATCATCCACTATCTGCCCCTGTCCTCTGCTGGAAGAAGGAATTGAGACAGGAAGAAGACCAAGCCAGGGCCCCCTGCCCAACCCTGCTGGTCCCTAGAGATGACCAGCTAGGCATACAGAGGAGGAACAGGGCGCCTGCTTGCCCTCAGGAAAAGGATAGCCCCTTTGTGAGTATTCTAAGCAGAAGTGGCCCCCTCTCCAGATGAGCACCCCCATCCATGGTCCACCACACAACCCCAGGACACCCGAAGAGAGCAACTGCACTTCCCCAGGAGGCCACAGAGGCCCCTCCCTGCAGTGACACCCACTTCCCCCAACTCCCCACTGAGCTGGCCCTGTTCCTACGGACCTCGGGCATCACAAACTGCTGTTCTCAGAGACCATGGCACCCCACCGCTGCCACCTCTAGGCACTGCCTCGTTCACAGACTCATAATCCTTAGAAAAGGCCCCATCACAGTCCGATGAGACCTTATAGCACATGCCCTCCAGGGCAGACTCAGAGCTCGCTGGACTTCAGGAAGGGCTAAGGATGCACATCTCTCCCGGCCTAGGGACCTGTGGGCACACAAACCTGGAACTGTAAGCTCAGCCCAAGGTCCTGGGTGGACTAGGAAGAGCTGCAGTTCACTTCCTTTCTTCCTGCTACCCCAGGAGGGGGCTTTCCAGTCTGGAAAGGGAAGGAGTCTGTGTGTCCCTGACGTGGACAGGCAGACTGGTGGGCAGGGGTTGGCATCCACTCCAGAGCAGGAAGGCTCGTCCCAGCCTCAGGTCTAGGCTTGTCTGGCTTCCCTCCAGCCGGCCCTGGTGGGCTAACCTGTATCTTGGAGGTAAGATTCTTCTCCCTCTCACCCCCCGACCCCCAATCTGGAGATGCAATGACCCAGTGCAGGCCAGGGAGGGTAGCCTGGCAGGGTCACCCAGAGCTTTAACCTATACAAGGCTTTTAGCCAGGGTGTTTCAGCTTCCTCCATCCCTACCAGACCCGCCACTCTGCTGCCCAGGACACTGTGGGGTCCCATATGGAGAACAGCAAGCTTGACTTGTCCATGTCCCCGACCTCCAGTTCTGAAAGGAACTGTTTGCCAGATCTGCTACCCCAGGGTCCCTTTTAGGGACCGCCTCTTACACTTCATCCAGCCCTGCTCTGTCTCACCACTGGGCTTCCAGGACTCCTGGCCTCCGCCAGCCATAGTCCACATGACATGCGGCTGTTGAGACAGGAACCAAGTGACTGACAGTTACCATGGTGGGGGCAGAGGCCAGTGCGGGCGGTCGAAGGTGACTGTTTGGCACCTCGGAGGTGCCCCATCCCCCCAATGCAGGGTATAACCTCCAGATTGTGGTGGAGAGTTTGCGCAATGCCTAAAGGGGAAGAGAGGGGTGCGATCAGAAGCCATCTAGCTGGCTTGAGATATGACTGAAGGTGGCCACGGAGTGGGCAGCTGCGCCCTTGCCCTTCTAATCCCTCGGTGCCTGGTGGGATGACCATAGTGACATCTGCCCTTTTGACTCCGCCCCTGGCATCTCACTCCATCTCTCCCCAAGCAGGGTGACCCCAAGAGAGCCACACCCTGGCTTCAGACCTCACTTCACCCCACCCCACCTCTTCTCCTTGTGGCAGGAACTCAGAAGGCAGTGGGGGACCTGCAGGAAGGGGGCCATCCTGCCAGCTTGGGGCCACAGGCTTCTGGCTGCCAGAGCTGTCCTTCCTGTTTGTGCCGCCAGGCTGGCTGGGGCCCTTGCCCCGGCCTCACCCACACCTGCAGCCGGTTCCCTTCCTGGGTGGACTTGAAGGAACCTCCCCCACATCTGCCTTAGTACTGTCTAACTCCCCCCATGCCAACCCAGGTTGGCAGCTGCTGGGGCCCCCGATCACGAGAACATGCTAACTAGGAAATAGATTCAGAAGTTTGGCCCAGAAATGGCTCAGAATGAAAGAGGAAAAGGCGGGGGGAGGGCTGAGACAGCATGAGTCAAAGGGAAAGCCAGGGGCCTCAACATACCACTTCATCCTCCAGGCCTCCCAACTCACTGGGCTGTCTGGGAAGCAAGGGCACCCAACCCCGGCCCTGCAGTTTGGAGCGCACGGGATCAGGATCACACAGTCTACCCAGCCTAAGAGACCCCGTGGACGCTCCTTCCGCCAGGGCGCGGCAGAGCCTACGGACAGCTGTACCACTGCGCACACAGGCTTGGGGCCGCAGGAGGGTGAGACATGCTACCTCTGAAAGTGCCTGCCCACCTGCCTGATCCTCATCCAACCTCCAAGACCGGCCAGATGTGTGCCTCGAGCTCCCCCTGGTGGCCATTCTCTGAAGTCACCTGATTGTGCTAAGGAGGGAGGGAGCTGACACATTTAACAGCGTTCTGAGGACTTGGGTTCAGGGTTTGCCTTTGGGAAAGCATAGAGATGGGGTCTTGTAGGCTTGCAGGCAGTAAAGGGGACGCCTAGGGAGCGTGCTGCTGAGAGGTAACATGAAATGATATCAGGAGCCAGCTGGGCTGGACAGCAGGCCGACAGCCCTAAAGAGCATGGGAGCATTGTGGTCTCTCGGCTGCTCCTCTCCCATTCTTTCCTATTAGGCCTTTGGGGAATGAGCATGTCCTTGTACTTGTTCAGGTGCAACTGTTGGATGAGCTACAGATCTGCCAAGAGCTGTTTCTCTAGGGACCCATGTACCGCACCCCAAGTTTTGCATATCCTTTTCTGTTTTGCCCTAGGACACACTCCTCTGGACTGCACAGCTGTTGGGAGGCTGAAGCTGGGGTACCCAGAATCAGGGGTCACTTCCTAGCTTCCCAGGCTGAAGGACATCACCTCCTAGGGGATGAAGCTGGGAGGACCTATTTATGTGTGTGTGTATGTTTGTGTTTGTGTATCTCTGTGTGTGCATGTCTCTCTGTGTGTGCATGTCTGTGATGTGTGTCTCTATGTGTGTCTGTCTCTGTGTGTGCCTCTCTCTCTCTCTCTCTCTCTCTCTCTCTGTGTGTGTGTGTGTGTGTGTGTGTGGGCATGGAGGATATGTACCACATTATTTTTTTGAGACAGGGTATTTCACTGAACATGGAGCTCACCAATTGGCTAGATGCCTAGCCAGCAAGCCCCTGGGATTTCTAGGCTTTGGGGCTACAGACACACACCTACACTCCTACTACACTTTTTTTTTAATTACATTGGTGGGGGGTTAGAGAGATGGCTCCATGGTTAAGAACACTAGCTGCTCTTCCATAGGACACAGGATTGATTCCCAGCACTCACATGGTAGCTCACAACCAGCTGTAATACAGTCCCAGGGGGATCCAACACACTCTTCTAACCTCCAAGGGCACTGCACATACGTGGTGGACAGACATATGTGCACGCAAAGCACCCATAAACACATTTTTTTAACTAATGACATTTGGAGATGGAACGATGGCTCAGAGGTTAAGAGCACATACTACTCTTGCAGAGAACCTGAGTTCAGTTCTTAGCATCTGTTGTGTGTGGCTTACAACTGCCTATAACTCCAGCTCCAAGGGATCTGACCCCTCTTCTCACCTCTGTGGACATCCACATGCATATACCCACACAGAGACACACATACATAGACATACATTTTAATTTAGAAATAAAAATCTTTTAAAATTGCATTTATTTAGTGTGTGTGTGTGTGTGTGTGTGTGTGTGTGTGTGTGTGTGTGTACACATGCATCTGTGCCACGGAGCACTTGTGGAGGTCAGATGACAACGTTCTGGAATGACCTCTCTCCTTCCATCGTGTGGGTTCCGGGGACTGAATTCAGTTCATCAGGCTTGGTAGCAAGCACATTTACCTGCTCACCTATCTTGTCAGCCAAAATCTGTTAAATTACCTACTGCTTATTTGTGTGCGTGTGTATGTGGGTGTGAGTGTGCATGTATGGAAGTCAGAGGACAACTTGCAGGAATCTCTTCTCTCCTTCTGTCATGTGGGTGTCAAACTCAAATCATCAGGCCTGGCAGCAGGGGCCTTTGCCCACTTAGGCCATCTTGCCTTATATGGATGCTGTGAAGCCCGGGTCCTCAACTTGAACGGTAAACAGTCTAAGAAAGGAGCCATCTCTCCAGTCCCCGACGCCAGCAGACTCTGTTTCCTAGGATCACTGACTACACCTTCTGTTCCATGCACGGTCTCTTGTAGTGGGTAGCCAGTCCAGCTTTGACCTGGAAGTACCACCCCCATTGAGGCTTCGGTAACCGTGGTTTGGGAGCTTTGCCCAAATGGATGGGTGCCACCCAGGTTTGTGCTGAGGTAGAGATTATCACCCTTCGGCATCCGTGCTGAGTGACATCTGGAGGTTCCGCTAAGAAGACAAAGCAGCTGAAACAGAGGCATCCCCCTGGGCTTCCTCTCCCAGGAAGCAGGCAGAGGAGCTGGGATCCTAGGAGCCAGGACTGCAGAAGGCTCTGTAGCTGGAGAATTTTTCTCCAGCTCCCACCACCAAGTCCCGCCAGTCCCAGAGCCCACTTATAAAACAAACATACAGACTCTTACTTTGTGGCGTCTAGCTGCCCGTATGAGACATGAAGCAGGAACCTGGTTTTGGCTCTGTTTAGAACTGGTTATTAAATATTCTCAGGTTTAAGGTGGAAACTCGAGCCGTTGGGCGCCATTTGTAGCTTGAGTTTTCCTGACTGGCCCACAGTCAGGACAAATCTCTGACACCCGCCAGTCCCACAGCCACTCAAACCCGACCAAGTAAACACAGAGACTTATATTGGTTTCAAACTGTATGGCCGTGGCAGGCTTCTTGCTAACTGTTCTTACAGCTTAAATTAATCCATTTCCATTAATCTATACCTTGCCACATGGCTCATGGCTTACCGGCATCTTTACATGCTGTTTCTCATCATGGCGGCTGGCAGTGTCTCCCTGACTCAGCCTTCCACTTCCCCGCTCTATTCTCCTCCTTGTCCCGCCTACACTTCCTGCCTGGCCACTGGCCAATCAGTGATTTATTTATTGACCAATCAGTAACACATTTGACATACAGACCATCCCACAGCAAGGCTCAGGTGGGCTCAGGCCTCTGTTAAGTCAGAGTAGGGCTGCTGTGAGTCTGGCTTCTTGTTGGAGCCAAACAAAGCACCCAGCTCAGCAGGGGCCCTGGGGCACAGAAAGGAGAGCGGTTCTGCTGGCACAGGGAAATAGGGGAATATGGCTCTGGGAATGGCCAAGCTATGCTCCTTGCCCAAGAGTTGACTCGCCAAGCCCTATAGACCCCAGAGTTACCCAGCCGCTCCGCAGAGTGGGCAGCAAAGGGGGAATGCACTGAGGATATCCAAAATGTCACGACGGTGGGTCTCTAGAACTGACCAGCAGGAACAGCACTGCAAACATTGTGGACTTCCCCCGCTGAACTGAGTCTGGAACTCTGGGAAGCCAGCTCCCAGCTCTGGCTACAGCCCCCACCAGTGAGACTGATGTGCTGAGCCTCAGGTGGTCCTTTACCCTGGATGAGGCCACATCTCTCTACACCCCAGTCCTCTGTGGTCATCTCCCCTGAAGGCAGGCAGATAAGTGACAGTGAACGTCCAGGAGCTATGCCCAGGGCTCAGCTCCCCCTCCATCCTCTCCCACACCACAGCCCAGAGGGAAACAGGCTTATGACAAAGGCCAGCCCAGGGTCACAATGAGTGAGAGAGGGGTTTCTGCTGTGGGGGACTCTGGCTCCCAAAATGCACTGCTTTGGCTAAACCAGAAGCTTCAAGCAGTGTTGATCCCATTTCTTTTCCCTTTTACTTATTTCTTCTTATGTGCATTGGTGTTCTGCCTGCATGTGTGTCTGTGTAAGT